TAGAAGATCTGGTGGAGAAGCAAAAAGTAACTTTACACGATTAATGTAGCTCACTAACAAAAGTAAATTTAAATCAACATATACAATATATTATATATGTATATGTACACAATATTAGTGAGACATTTAGTAAAGAAACTAAATATTTAAACATATAAACCTTTTTTTAAAAAAGGAACCATAGAAATCCTTAGGATACAAAACAAAACACCAAAAATTTAGTAAAAAAATCATTTTCTAAATCAAACATATGCACATCGAAGTTGGATAATTCGTTAGGTGTCATTACTATGATTTTACTTAATAAGATTTATAATTTTATAAACAACAATAGGAAATACTACATATTATGTTTTAATTTTTTTATATAAAAGAAAATCTCTATAAATATATTATAGTTTTAATAATTTAAAAGATATTAGCCAAAAAAATTAAACCAAATTATTAATATAGACTGGCGCGTAGCACGAGTTAAAAGCCTAGTCCAATCTAGAAGACATGACCACCACAGTTTTTTAAGACAAGACTCTCAATAGGAATCTTTTGCGCAAAAGGGCACTCATACCGAAGTCCGGTAAACTTATACGGTAACGAGCTGCACGGCTTCGGCTTAACACTGCTTGATACTCCTTCGATATTTGCACACTGGAGTTGTTGTTGACTCGGCTTTTTCGACAGCGAAATACTTCACGTTCGACATACAAATCCCCTTAAAAGGATTCTTGCTCATCCCTTCGAGCTTCGCCGAGGTTGTAACGTTCTCCGCTGTGTTATATCACGGAAACTGATATTGGTAACCACCGGCATGACCTTGGGGATGTATCTGTTGGAACTCTTTTTTGACAAATGGCTCAGGCCAGTTTTCCGGTGACATTTCCGGTGAGCACAGTTACCGAAATGACCGGATTATGGATTCTTTGGATTCCTTGTAATGAGTAATATAAGATAATGTATTCACTTGTCAAAAATGAAGTTGATTTTAATGAGAAATCTTTGGTCAAAGTGGGCATGTAATCAAGACAAAAAGTCAACAAATGTCAAGATGAGCATTTTGTTCCACATCAAAAATTGGAAGAATTTTCCACTAGTATATATAGTGACACACTCTCAACAAGGTTCACTAGCCTTTAGAAGAGGACACTATGCAGAATGAGAGAAAGGGCTGTTATGCAAAACCACACACACGCGTGTGCGCCGTGCCGAGCCGGGCCAGGCTTGGTCTTGGGTCTTGGTGAATGTGGGCTTTAGCCCACAACAAGATGTTCTTTTTGGAGTAAATACTTATTAACTTATTTTCACAAATATGTTAATATTCCTTAAAGATAATTTGCATAACTCGATAAATCTTTATGATTGGGTCAAAAATTAATAACAGAATATTTCCATAATATATATGTTTCGCCCGGATCCTTATCAGAAAGGAATAAAAGATCTCTGAAATATTTCCGTTTCTATTATTCTTTGCGATCAAGGAATAGAAGATTTTCGGAAGATTTCCGTTTATCTATAAGTGGCGGCCAAGACAAACCCTTGCGCCCCAATCCTTCTATACGCTATATATACTCGCCTCTCTCATTCATTATTCTTCATCAGCGAAAACTTATAGCTTTCAAAAACACAAATATCCAGCCAGCAAATCCCTCTCGTCTCTACAGTCTTAGGTGAGTCTCGAGAGTATAGCGTAGAATTTTCAGTTCGTAGATTCTATAGTTGGGTGCTGCGACTTTAGTCTCAACACGGTTATATCTTGGGATTCTGAATCTCTTCAAACTGTCACACTGCGGGAGATTTAAAGAATTAAGGAAAGAGATCATATCTCGACTCCGTGTTTTTCGTCTCTTTTCTTACTCGTTTTATTCAATCGTTTTATGCTACATTATTATTTTCAATCGTTTTTATATTCATGATTTTCAATCTGGATTTTTGCGGTTCTACAATCTTAATTCTTTACCAATGAAAACACCATTCTTTCTAAGAATCAGCTGGTCAGATTCGAAATTGATTGCAAATCCGTGCTTGCTCAGCAGCGTGCCAGAGATCAGATTCTTCCTCATGTCTGGAACATGCTTCACGTTTGAGAGTATGATCTTCATTCCTGATGTCATCTTCAGCACCACCTTTCCGGTACCTTCAATCTTGGAGTGGGACACGTTTCCCATCAACAGATGTTCATCAGTTTTGCTCTTTTGATAGGTGTTGAACATATCTCTATCAATACAGATGTGTGTGGTAGCGCTAGTATCGTACCACCATGCCCTTGGGTTTTCTTCAACCATGTTAGCTTCTGTTACAACTGGACACAGATCAGCTTGAGTTAGGTTGGCTTGATTAACACTCTTGGCTTTACTGCGACAGTCTGTAGCATGATGTCCCATCTTGCCGCAGTGGTTACACTTCCCAGAGAACTTCTTATTAGGAGCGTGAACTTGCTTCTTGAAGTTTCAGAGGGCTTGATTCGCAACTTTGTGAATCGCAGTCTTTGGAGAAAAGCCTTTTCCTTTCCCCTTTTTCTTAAACTCAGCCACATTTGCGTCATGTGTCTGAGGTGGTTCAGCCTTGTCACATTTTTGTGACTCATTCTGAAGCCTGGTAATCAAGTTAGCCAACGACAGAGGCTTCTGCTTGTAGTTGAGGTAGCTCTTGAAACCGTCCCAGCCTGGGGGCAGCACCTCCATGAAGCAGTTAACCGTGAAGGTCTCACACAGCTTCATGCCTTCATCTGATATTTGCTGGAATATCGTTTGTAGCTCATGCACTTGATCCATAAGAGGCCTTGAGTCTACCATCCTGAAGTTAAGGAGTTTTGCAGTTGCAAATTTTCCAGAACTCACGTTGAAGGTCTTGTATTTGTTTTCGAGAGCAATCCAGACATCTCTGGAAGTCTCGTAACCTTCAATGTACAGGCCATACAGCTGATCTGCAAGGTTATTCAGGATGTAACCTTTGCACAGGAAGTCCGCATGGATCCACACTTGGACAGTAGCAAGCATATGCGGATCTGTATTCTCAGCAGGAAGCACTGGTTTAGTCTCAGTGAGATACTTTGCCAGGTGCAACGTGGACAGAAAGAAGTGCATCCGCTTTTGCCACTGCTTGAAGTTTGTTCCATCGAACTTTTCAGGTTGAAGTCCAGCAGTTGGAATTGATGGAACCGTGTGTGGTAGACCATTCCCTTGTGGGAGTGTCGGCTCACTTGTGTTCTTCGGAAGTCCAACATCAGTAGACATTCTGAATCTAATCACAGAAAACGAACTAGGTTAGTTTTTGAGATCTCAATCCAGAAAAGTGATTAAAACGTTTAATTCGCTATTAATTTGTTCACAGAAATCGCTTAAAAGCATTCTTAAACCGTAATAGTCGTTCCCAGAAATCACTTAAAGGTGTTCTTGAACGCTATGATTCAGATCTATAAGATCGTTTATAGACAAACGTTTCGCGATCCTGCATAGGGCTGATGCGGAAATCATTTTGTGTCTTTTATAATAATCGTCTGTTTTTAAGATCAAACGTTCTACGGTTGGCTATAAGACAATCGCAGAAGCGTTGTAGATCGATCAGAAAACATTTTAAAATCGTTTTATGAAATCGTTTTATGCTAAATTATTATTTTCAATCGTTTTTATATTCGTGATTTTCAATCTGGATTTTCGCGGTCCTACAATATCCACCTCTTAGGTTTAGTTTGAGCGCTTCGTTCATCAAGAAAACATTTTTCGATGTCTTGACCGTGAGTCTCCGAGCCCAAACGTTCTGGAGGTAACCGCCTCCACCCGCGGCGGTCTCGATCTTAACGGCGAATTTTGTGATGTGTAGAGTTACGTCTTCCATTCTGATGACAACTTTGATTCCTCGAGTCATTTCGCTTCCTAAGGCGACTCATGCGCCTTTTGGGGAAATGCATGTGAGCCGACGGATCGAAAGCATATCTGTAGCGGTTCCGACCGTCGTTCCGTACGCGTATTGGTCGATTCCGCTCTTGATGCCCACACCATCGTTGCCGGAGACTACGAAGCAATCTTCTATCAGTGTGTTGAAGCAAGAATCTGTGGAACATGCCACGTTGTTATTTTTAGACGAAATATACATTAAGTGTAATTTGTGCACAACAACATGAATAGTCCAAGTGATGATGACAAACGATGGCAATATTACAAACTTACACAAGTATTAATTAAGGCTACACGTATAAGTTTAACTATATATAACACTAACGAATAAATAATAAATTTGTGAAAAATTGATACTCTTTCTATTTCACAAATAGTAATATTTGAGAGTTTTTCACATATTTTAAAATATCGATTAAAAACTTTAGTTTACCTTTTATTACACTAAACACATTTATCTCTCTAATTAATATTTAAAAATAATAAGGTTAAAACTGGATTTTTATTAAAATTTTATATTAAAAATATTAAACAACACATTTGTAAAACAAGAATAAAATCTTTAAACGATACTTTTAGTATTAATAATAGATTGCTACATAATTTATTTGATCAAAATATCCACACTAAGCTAGACGTCTGAGATTGTAGTTGATTAGAATTAATTAGACAAACTATTTTTTTTATTAATTAGAAAACCTAATAACCTAAATATAGACATTACCTGAGAAGCAAGGATAGTTGCAGCTTCCTTAATATGCAATGTAAAATGGCTGGTGAGGTTGAAACTTCCAGTGAGCTAAAAGCAGATGATTAATGCGTGTTAAAGAAATGTTTTATTATGATTGTTGATCAGTTTTATTATGTAGAATATTTTGGCTAAAATCAGAATGATCAACAATCAAATGAAGTAAAAAAAAAACAAAATATATAAACATCTTGGAAAATGTAACAGAGAGAGTATTATTATACTAAAAAGAATATGACTGAATTCTTAAATATCATTATTAGCTGGACGCATTTTAGGAATTTGTATAAACAATGGTAGTGTCAATAATGGATTCTTAAGCATCTGTTTATTTTTATGTCTCAAATTAGCATAAAAGAAAGAAAAAAAAAATCGAAAGTCATTGTTTGCCAACGAGAAACAGGACATTCCCCAGTCCAGCTCAGTTTTTGTATCTACAGTTAATCACACGATCTTTATTTAATAATCGAATTCATTCTGAAGTTTATCAGAAGAGTTCTAAAGATTGTTATTAAAAAGAGTTCTAAAGATTAAATTTTTATTCGTAATATCTGTAGCTACCACCGGACGACATGACTCAAGAGGAGCAGAAGAAGAAGGTCACGGAGCCCAAAACCGCCGCCTCCGACCCATCACCGCCGTCCACGGAGGAGAAGTCCGACGATTCCAAAGCCATTGTTCTTGTCGTCGCAAGTAACAAATCATTTATGTTTCAAAGAAATAGAATTACAAATATAAGCTGTAAAACTGTTTATATCTCAACTATTTCTAATTAGTAAAAACCTATACGACGTTATTTTTAAATAATTATTCTATAATAATTTAGTTAATGTTATTACTCAAACAATTTTCGGCCAAATAATATTTTCTCTAAGCTTTGTGGGAGCAAGAATTGTAATCTTTTTTTTTTTTGTGTTCTTTCTGGTTGCGTCGCAGAAGATGCTGAAGAAGAGAAGAAAGGAGGTTCCGTTAACCGAGGTGAATAATAGAGAATACTCTACGATTTTACTTTACATAATTTCATTAATTTACCGCATATATTATTGTTAATTTTTTCCTTGCATTTTCTGATTATATTGGTGTGTGTGTGTGTGTAAAATAAATGGTGTGAAGATGCTGTTTTGGCTAAACTCGAGACAGAAAAGAAGATGTCTCTCATCAAAGCTTGGGAAGAGGCTGAGAAATCCAAAGTGGAGAACAAGTAACTTCTTCTTCTTTTTGAATTAAGAAAAAAAAACATTAGAAAAATGAAGTTTAAATTAGCCATGAATTATATATTTGTATATAATCTAAACTTGATACAAATTTATTATAACGCAGAGCCCAAAAGAAGCTTTCTTCAGTTGGAGCTTGGGAAAACAGCAAGAAAGCATCCGTGGAAGCTGAGCTAAAAAAGATCGAGGTATAAATAACTACATGGACTATATATATTCATTATGCTTTCAAGTTTGTTTTTAACGTTTTACATAAATCAAAATGTTACCACTTTTTTAGACTTTTTCAAATGTTATTAACCCCTAGAAATCCGAATGATGATGATGCATAACAGGAGCAACTAATCAAGAAGAAAGCCGAGTACGCAGAGCAGATGAAGAACAAAATAGCTCAAATCCACAAAGAAGCCGAAGAGAAGAGAGCAATGACCGAAGCTAAACGCGGGGAAGATGTTCTCAAGGCCGAGGAGATGGCTGCAAAGTACCGCGCCACTGGAACTGCCCCAACAAAGCTATTTGGATGCTTCTGATTGATTTTTATAGAGAAATGGATTTTGATTTTGGTTTATCATTTGTGGTCTTGGTTTAATTTGGCAACATAGTACGAGTTACATGCCCATAATGTAATGTCTTGTTATGTTTTTTTTTTTTTTTTTTTTTTTTCCGTTTTTGGTCATGTCACCATTTGTGTAATTGTATATCTTGAATAAACAATTATTTTGTTTTTGTCTTTCTCTGAACTGTTATGAACTCATCATGGCCCAAGTTGATCCATAATAGAAGCAGTGAACTAATAAGACTTATTGAAGATGTAAAAATCTGAGTTAAAATCCTAACTTAGTTTAAATAATTTTACAAAAAAAAATCGAACAAAACTAAATTTTAGTTGATAAAATTTGATTATACTAGGTATTTACCCGCGCTACACTGCATGATATTTTTTCTAGATTTGTATATATTTTTAATATAATAAAATTATTTCTATAATATAAATGAGTATTATATTTATTTTTTATTAGCTTAAATTATGTATTTATATGTTTTAAATCTGAATAAATATTATATATCATTAATTTTTTAAAATTATAAATTACTATCAAATTTGTTTAGCTAACTATCTATAAATGTATATGTAAGAATAAAACAATACATTTTTAAGTACCTTCATGCTAATGGTAAATGTAATTTATTTTCTATACTAAATTGCTACTTCATCCTCTGTTGAAATTATATAAAGCAAATTGCTATTTAAAAAAATATTAATTAATATGATTATTTTAAACTATAAATTTTATTTGTTTATCAAATATTTATTATAGACATATGTTTCTAAAACTACCAAACTATAATAAATAACATTCATATCAAAATCATTACTATTACTTTAGAACTAAATAGAAAGTTTTATTTGAACTGTTAAAATATTAATTTAGTTGAAGTTAAATAATTTAATTTTGGTTACTATAAACATATTGTAACTTTGAAAATTAGCACAGAGAAATTTTATCATTTTACAAAAACTGAGAAATTGCATTTTTCGACAAAACAAACAAATATATTTTTCCACAAAACTGAGAAATCGTCTATTCCCGCCAAAACAAAAAAAAATCATTTTCTCGTCAAACCTGAAATTTCATTTTCCTACCAAAACAAAAAAATTACATTTTCCCTCAAAAACCAAAAAATCACATTTTTCCACAAGAACCTGTATTTTTCCGTCAAAACAGAGAATCAAGTTTTTTCACCAAAACCAAAAAATTTCATCTTCCTACAAAAACAAAAAATAGTATTTTTCCATCAAAACCAAAAAAAATATTTTTCCGCAAAAATCGTCTATTCCCACCAAAACAAGAAAAATTATTTGTTCTCGTCAGATCAGGAATCACGTCTTCCTACCAAAACCGATAAACTACAATTTTCTGCGAAAACCAAAAATTGCATTATCTCATGAGAAATTGCGTTTTCCGCAAAAACTAAGAAATCATATTTTCCATCGAAAACCAAAAATCAAATTATATGTCAAAAACTAAAAATTTGCATTTCCCATCAAAATCAAGAAATTGTTTATTCCTGCCAAAATCGAGAAATTTTGCTTTTCTATCAACCCGAAAATTGCATTTTCTGCCAAAATTGTCAAATTACAATTTTTCGCAAAAATCAAGAAATTACATTATCTATCAAAAGCCAAAAAATTGTATTTTCTATCAAAACCGAGAAATCGTATTTTCGTCAAAATTGAAAAGTTGCATTTCCCTCGCATGTTCTCGTCAAAATCAAATTTTTTATTTCTCACCAAAACCAAAAATTCACATTTTTTCGCCAAGTCCGAGAATTCATTTTTTTTTTCCATAACCGAGAAACAATGTTTTTCTACCAAAACTGAAAATCACATTTTTCTACTAAAACCAAGAAATTCTCTATTTCCGCCAAACCCAAGAAAATTTGTTCTCGGTAACCAGTGGAAATGCGAATATCCAAGCTGTGGTGGTCTGAGTTTCTCCTTATTTGCTTTCGCCTTCCATTTTTTTTTGTAAACTTTGAGCTTTTTAGTGGGCCAGCAAAATAGTAAATTGATTTTATTAGTGTGTTAATAATATGTATTATTGTTATGTTTTTATTAGTTCAAATTTTTGCTGATGTGTGAACTTCTTATAACGTAACGCTTTTTGCATTGTTGTTATGGAAGCATAGTTGATGATGAGTCTACACTTTCTTCAATCATATACGTATCTATCAAACAAACACATAGGTAGAAATTTTAATTTTTTTTTGCTGTTATTTATTATTTGAGTTTCGGTTTGGCAAAAATATAAAACAAATATTTAATTTTATTATTTATTGTTATTTATTATTTAGGTTTGGTAAAAAAATAAAACAATTTTTTTTTTATTTGCTGTTATTTATTATTTGGGCTTGTGCTTGACTAAAAAATAAAACTAAATTTGAATTTTTAATGGGTTTAAATTTAAAAGTTAAATATATTGATGACTTGTATTAATGAAATGTTTTTATTGGTATTTTTTTTGCTGAAGTGTTATCTCCTAAAAGCTTGAAAATGCTGATGTGTCAAGCCATGGAGAAACTTATGGATTATTGTTGTGTTGAATTATCCCAAAATCAATCGAGACTGGGGTTTTATCCGTGGGCCGACAAATTAAGGCCCAAAATATAAGGGCCCAATAAAAAGAGAGGTAGTGTCGCAAGAGTTATCTTATTTATAAGGAGTTGTAAACTAGGGTTTTCTTTTCTCGAAGGGTTAAGCCGTCGTTGCCGCTTTATCGTCTCCTAGCATCTTCACCTCAAGCTTTCACTCGAGAGCCGACGACAATCAGCCATGGCGGAACAGGTGATTCGATCGTTTTTCAAACCACACTATCCTCATTTCAATCTATTGGTTCCTATCCACTTAGTGATTCTCATTTTCTTTGTTTTGTGTTGTTGATTTTACAGACTGAGAAAGCTTTTTTGAAGCAACCCAAGGTCTTCCTTAGGTAATCTGCGATTCGATTTCTCTCTGTTTTCAAAGTAATTTTTTTATGTTATCCAAGTTCCCCAAGTTGCTTATATGGTTGGTTGTTTCTGTATATCAGCTCGAAGATATCTGGAAAGGGAAAGAGACCTGGGAAAGGAGGAAACCGATTCTACAAGAACATTGGTTTGGGCTTTAAGACTCCACGTGAAGCCATTCAAGGTTTGTCTGCTTTTCTTATTCTCCTTTCGCGTTAGGTAGTTATTATATGTGAAACTCTGGATTATGATTTCTTATGGTTGATTGATTCATGTTCTTCAGATTCTCGATCTTTGATTTAGTGAGAAATCAAACCAACTATTGATTAGAATCTCTAGAGTATTGACTCTGCGTTGCTCTTTGCTTTCCCTTAGTTTGCTCTCTGTTCAGTGGGCTTTGTATTGTATCTAACTACTGTAATTAAGAGTTATATAAAATGAAGCAGTAAACACCAAACCATAGACTCTTTCATAATTGGATCTGTGTTACTGTTTGTTTTCCGTAATTACGATCAGTCTGCTCTCTGTTCACTAGGCTTTGAATTGTGAGAATTGTATCTATCTACTGGAATTAGGAGTTACAGTATGAATCAATATACAAAACTCCATCTTTGATCTGTATTGATCTTCGTGTCAGATTCTGAGTGGATTGTGGTTGTTTTCCTTTGGAACAGGAACTTACATTGACAGCAAATGTCCCTTCACCGGAACTGTCTCGATAAGAGGCCGTATCTTGGCTGGTACTTGCCACAGCGCCAAAATGCAGAGGACCATCATCGTGCGAAGGAATTACCTTCACTTTGTGAAGAAGTATCAGAGGTATATTCTTACATTCATATACTTTCAATAAAATTGAATTGTGTCGATATGACTTTTACATCGATTTTTAAAAAAGTATTATCCTTTTGGTTACTTGTCAGGTATGAGAAGAGGCACTCGAACATCCCTGCTCATGTCTCACCTTGCTTCCGTGTCAAGGAAGGAGACCATGTCATCATCGGCCAGTGCAGGTTATGATTCGATTCAGAATAACAGCAATGTCTCTGTGTTGATTCTAGTTTCTGTGCTGGTTTTTTTGATCTTTTTGTGCTGGTATTTGCAGGCCATTGTCGAAGACTGTGAGGTTCAACGTGTTGAAGGTGATTCCAGCTGGTGCTTCTGCTTTCGGAAAGAAGGCTTTCACTGGAATGTAAGGGAAAGAGGGTTTTGATGTTAGTTTATGTTTCTGGATAGAGAGCTGGATTGTGTTATTACCCTTTATCTATCGAGATTGTTTCATTGAATCTTCCTATTTTGATGTTTTAATGCACCGATTTTGTTTTTCTTTGCTTTAACATTTTCCATCCCAATTTGAGATATCGTTCGGCTTTTAGGTTCAATTCAATACATGTCTGATATCCATAGAATAAGTCGTCTTATTTATGAAGAGCGTAGAAGGATTCTGAGATGGTAAATTACAATTTTATTAAGTCTAACTATAGCACGTACTGTTTATTCTCTTCTACGTAAATTAAAAACAAACTCTTCTTGTCAAGGATCTCATCGTTACTCATTGCTCATTGAACAAGAAATTGTCTGAAAATGAAGTACAGAACTGAATCTCAGGCATATTGTCGTCCAACAAAAAATCAGAATTTGGTATGAGATCAACCAAAGAGTTGTTGTTTTCATACAGAGACGTGCCACATGTTTCCAAAAATCCTCGCTCTTCCGGTACAATGAGGTCTTGTGCATAACTACTACATTTTTGAGGTGATTGATCCACAAGCAAACTGTGATCTAACCACTCGGAGAACACGAGACTTGGTGAAAAGCTTGAGATTTGAGAATGAAATGATTCACCGACATTGATGAACGAAGAAGTCTCGACTGAGTTTGTGAGTGAATTTGTTTGAGGGGTTCTTGTGGTTTCATGTTTTGTCGAAGATACACTCTTCTTTAGATAAGAATGCCAATAGTTTTTGATCTCGTTGTCGGTTCTTCCAGGTAGATATTTCGATATCTGAGACCATCTTGTAAAAGGAAAACACTATATAAATTTAAAATTATGAAATCAAACTATAAAAATGGTATAATATTTTTGGAAATGGCCACACAATCTCTACTGTTTACAAACGAAACCATAAACCCGACATTTTAAACCGTAATTCCTAAAGGTAAATTCTAAACAAAGTTGTCTAGTTCTGAAAGATTCAGGATACTTTTCTAATCGAGATTTTTGTATACGTCATTTCAAAAATAATTTGAAAATATAATGGTTATATAAAAATTAGATTTGACTTACTTGTTACCCAAGATGGAATGGAGTGAGAGAAGTGTAGTTTCCTCTTCTTCAGTAAATAAACCCTTCTTAAGTCCAGGTCTTAAATAATTAACCCATCTTAATCTACAACTCTTCCCATTCCGCTGCAATCCTATAACCAATTAATTATTTAGTTTACTAAGTCCTTGTCAAATTCCAATTTTTAATAAATACAAAAGTGTTACATATACATTCGAGCATATTTTATATACGCACGAACGTCTAGTTGATTTCTACAAACGATGACTATATCGAAATAACTAAAAATGTAATGGTACCTCTCACACACTCAATATTTTTAAAATGGTATTGTAACTATAAAATGAATCATAACGTTAAAAGAAACTTAGGATATTTTATTAGAAGTTACCAGCTTGAGTAGGTATACTACTCCAGCATCCATGGCCATACTTGAGCACATGACTCCTAAGCTTCTCATCTTCTTCCGGTGACCACAATCCTTTCCTTTGCTTCTCCTTGGATTTCAGTTTTCGGTTTGATTTTTCTGATTTAAACACCATTTTTATTTTTACTTGATTATATATATATATATGTATATGTATATGATACTGAAAGGACGTATATTGTAGATCGTAGATGACAATCTTTGACACTGATACGTGGTTCGAAGGAGGAGGGGAGAGGGATATATAGGCAGTACTTGAAGAGACATTTTATTTATATATACAATAAAAACAAGATTAGCAAAAGAAAAAAAAAAGAGTTACATTATATAATTCATTATTATGTAGAACTATTCATATGAAAGAGGGCGTATTCAACACGAAAACAAATACTTTGTAGATGATATCTCGCATTTGAAACACTGTATCAAATCTTTATTAATTTTGGTGGAGCCAAATCCTTTGAATTTCAGTGTCATAATTTCAATACGACAATACATAATAAGATTTTCTCTATAAAAAAAAATATAGTTTCGGGAAAATCAGGCTTTTGTAAATTTTGTCTTGGTTTTGCTTGCCTTTTCAAATTATGTTAGGGATAACTTAATAAAAATTGCCACAATAATAGAGTGGTGGCTGGTGAGGTTATTTATTTTTTTCGAAAATTTAAATGCTTGCAAATGATTAATAACTTGATAAGCCTCTGAATTGTCTTTCCTTTTTCCTCAAATTGTTCATCACGAAACGACATGGCTGGTCTAACTTGATGATAATATAACAAATTAGCCAATTATTTGCTTAATGAGATGGTTAGTGAAGACGATTAGCAACTAGTCGACCAATTTTTTTAAGACGCATTAATGGACATTTCAGTAATTTACCAGCACCGTGTCTTAGATGAATTTTAAACTAGATAATTAGCATGTGAATTCTTCTTATTGGTTATGAATAACATTTCTAATTCAACTGTTCAAGTTATTTATTTTTCTAAGGATAGAGTTGAAGAAGACTTTTGCAATCTTTAACTAACACATACTTGCCTTCCTCAAGAAAAACTCTTGTAAAATATGAAACACAAACATATATATATATATATTATTGGTGAATTGGCTTTTTTCTTCATTTTATATTAATTAAGATATAATATAGATATTTGTTGAATAATTATTATAATATTAATAAATTAATAAATGATTGTTTTGAAAACGATTGTATTAGTGTTGTCGTTTGTGTCATCATCCAAATTCAAATATGATAAAATGTATGTTATTTTCTGGAAAATGAATCAGTAGTTTGACATTAACTTTAGCTACTTGATTTTTTTTTTTTTGGTATTTAGTTATCCTTTATTTTATATAAGTTCTATAAAATGAAAAAACAAAACACTGAAAAATGATGTAAAATTGCATCACTTGTACGGTTATATATATTTTGATGGAAAATTATAATATGAATTAGTAAATATCATAAACCCCCAAACGTTGTTCTTTTAAAAGACTAGGTATATAACTCGCGCTACGCGCGAATCTGTATTAATATTTTAGTTTAATTTTTTTTAGCTACTATCTTTAAAATTATTAAAAATATAATATATTTATAGAAATTTTTATTTATCTAAGAGAATTTAATATATATTGTGTAATTTATCTTATTTTTATTTATAAATTTTAAAAAATTATTAGGTAAAATAATAACAATGACACCTATCGAATTATTCAACTTTGACGTACATATATATTTGATTTTGAGAAATATAATCTTGCTAAGATTTTGGTATTATTTTTTGTTTTCCATAGAATTTTTATAGTTTTTTTTTCTTGAAGGTTTATGTGTTCAAATATTTAGTTTTTTTTTTATTGAATTTTTTTTTCTTGAAGGTTTATGTGTCCATAGAATTTTTATAGTTTTTTTGTACCACTGCATATATAATCCATGATTCATGTTGATTCGCATTTAATTTTGTTAGGAAGCTGAATGATCATGCAAAACCATTTTTCCCTTCTCCATCATGTCTTCCAAGAGTTTTATGTTATATTTTTATTCAGTTTTCATTGTTTTAATTGTTAAATCGAGTTGTTGTAGATTTTTTTTAAATTGATAATTGATAATGGTTACTTTTTTTTATACATGTATTGTTAATTGTTAATTTTTTTATTTAACTTATAAATTTTTAAACCATATTAACATTTTCTGATATAATAAATATATTGATTTGGATCAATCAAATTAAATTTACTTTTTTTGTTGGACATAATTTGTTAAATTAACTTTTAATGTTTTAATTATACTTAATAATTTTTGTTTTGATTTAAAAGCTGATGTGGACTAATTAAATCAAGTTTTTCTGTCTTAATCATACTTAATATTTTTTATTTAATGAATATGTTGATGTAAACCAATCAGATTGAATTTTTAATCTCATGTAGAGGCCCTCAATGCACTATACCATCAACTTTTATATATTATATAATGTATACAGTTTTTTTTTGTGTGGAAAGACTACTAACTAGTTTATGAAATCCGTTAAAGTCTTAAAATCATCTAAGCATGTTATTATTCTTCTTTTTGGAAAGACATTTAACTACATACAATTTTACATAAAGAAAAAACAAGAAAAAATCTATAGAATGCCTCTATATATTGATAATGATAAAAATGGTGCCTCCACTCAGAAACACCTTAGCAACCGACACCGGAGTGACGTTAGCTGCGGATTAATTATTTGACATTTATATAAATTTCTAATTTTATAGGTTAACTTCAAGATTCCAATATCGTTTTCTACTAAAATGACTTTTTAGTTGAATGGTTACATAAGTATGTTTTCTTCCGTTCTGCTTCTAGACCGTCTTTGATCTATTACACCATTCACTACCATAGTTACGTATGTCTATTGTGAATTATTTAATCACCCTTTAACGAATGTAATAGAAAAAAATGTCGTTGTCGAGAAACTAAAACAACTATTGTTTGGAGTCAACCCTTTGCCCTCATTTGCGGATAGAATTTGACCAAATACCAAATTGTAATATTTAAAATTTATACTTCTTTTCTTTTTGGTCACCAAGAAGAGGTGTCCATCAAAGAAAGTTTGGTTAAGATACATCCGATTTTGCTTAAATTTATAAGTGTATCTATATATACCACGTTGCGCAAAGTAGAGTGGGCCTTTTTTGTTGTATTAACAAAACAATAGTCATGCTATTTGAAAAATTAGTAATCTAAATATGGTTCATAATTAATTATCGAAAGGGTTGACTGTGTATTCCCCCTCTATAATACAGTTCTGCATGGTTTCCTCCAAATTTTAAAACTTATGATATTCTCCCCTAAACTTCTATATATAATAATATTTCCTCCCAAACTCTTTTTTCTGCTTAATTCCACCTGCGACGCAAATAATTGAAAATTGTGATTAATTAAATAAAATCGCGTTTAAGAAATTGTGATTGCTTGTTAAACTCAAATTCAATTTATTGGTTATTAAAACCCGGCCTAAACCAAATTGATTAAACCCAGATGCAAAACCAAACCAATGACTTAAATCAAAATTTGGGAATTAGGTTGGGTTTGGCGTTCTTCTTCTTCGACAACAACGACACCATAGCGAGAGAGAGCTTCAGAGGGATTTCGCTACAGAAAGAGAAAGAGTGAATCAGAGCTAATCCAGAGAAAATTCAGAGCTAAGGATCCAATCGAAAGAAAATTCAGGGTTATTGGTGTTCATGGAAGTCGAAGGATGGAGATAAATAAAATAGAAATAATTGTGAGGTAAACATCGAATCCCTTAAAGCTTTGAGAAATTGTTCCTTTTTTCCGTCTTCTATACTCGACTTCATTTATATTTGATCAATTATCTCTTCTTTGATTGTGATCGTAGAGTTACTGTTGTTTTTTTTCAATTTTTCGTCACAGCTTGTTGTTTTTGTTTCAGAGAAAACATGGAAAACATCGACAAACAAAAGTCGAGAGAAAAGAAACAAAACAAAATAAAAATGTAAAACGAGTGAGTGGATGTCACTACAATTTTTACAAACGACGAACCCAGACTGGTCTTGACCAAGGATTTGAGTGTTAAATAGGCCGTTGTCTCGCCAAACGTCGTTCTGTAGAGTTCTTTACCAGCGAGTTAAAAAAACAGAGCAAGACTGCAAAATTAAAAAAACAGAGCAAGACTGCAAAATTGAAAAAACAGAGTAAGGAGTAACAAAGACGAGGTTGTGTCTTAATACCGGGGTTATTCGATTTTCGCTAAGTCATCTTAATATGCGACAAAAACCATCTGAACTAGAGTTTAAAGAGATCACATACAACAACAAAACAACTGAAATAACATGAGTCATATAATTTAAAGAGAAGAGAATCAATCAAAGCACTTTCAGGCAGACATTTGAGAAGGTTGTGTGACTGAAATCATATCAGGTGTTTCAGATGAACCTGGAGCCTGAATTTGAGGGGAAGATGAACTTTCAGCCTGAAAAGAGAAACAATCTGATTCAAAATCAAGATAACTAAAATACTAGTCAAGTAAAGCACGAAATAAATCATCACAAGGGAGCGAGAATCATAACAACATAGACAAGCACAAGTCAACAAAAACCTGAGAATTACGAAAAAATCACAACTCCATAAAAATGAGATTCGAAATGGAGAATCGCACAAATCCACACTCAAAAACACAAACAAGAACAATAACACAGATACAAGTCAATAAAAATCCTATTCAAAACCAAGAATCACAAAAATTCAATAACACAGACAAGAACAACAAAATTCACTATAAAAAAGAGATTGATACCTGTAATGCCTCTATTTTTTGCATCTGCCTCGGCTTCTTTTTAGGATGTATCATACAACCGGTGTAATTATGGCCTTCTTCACAACAGTTTGAACAATGAATTATGCAACCTGTTCTTGGCAACTTTTGAACCTCTTTCTTCTTCTTTTTTGGTGACTCGTGCTTGCCTTTAATTCTCTTCTTTATCTTCTTTGATTTCTTCTTTCGTCCAGGTAAGTCTGGCTCTGGAGGATCGACTACAAGGCGACAACTTCTCTTCATCCAGAATCGTGGTCCTCTAACTGGTTCCATATTAATCTCGTAATTCATTTTCCACAAATCCGTTGAGAACCATGGAGATACATAATTATCAGCTTCCAAACCAGCATTTATCATAGCTCCATAAGCATGTTCGCATGGTATACCTATAGAAAACTCAAATCTTATTAAAAACTAAACTTAAATATGATATCAAAGTAAAAGCATAGAAATACCTGAGATTTGATACTTGCCACATGAACAAGTTTGAGTCTTTGTATTGACTGTGTAAGAATTCCCAAAAAAGTACACTTTATGGACTCCATGAGTAGCAGGAATTGATGTGCACTTGTCAACATGCTCCTTCTCCAATGCTAGCGTCTTCTTCACATATTTTGAACACTTGCCTTCCCACTTATTAGTTTTCTCCCTTCTCTTTGCAATGCGAGCCATAGCCAGCCTTCGAATCATCTCCAACATAGGAACTATGGCCTTCGCACGAGTTTTGGTAATTGTTGAGTTGAATGATTCTGTTGAATTGTTATTAACATCTTCACAGTAGCTTCCAAGTTTGTAAAATGCAAAAGACCAAGTCTCAGGTTTCTCCTTCATCACATCTTCATATAAACTCCAACTATAGTCCTGAAGTTTTTTTTGATTCTCTTCAAACTCAACTGCAGTGTAGCTCCAAGCTAGATTCCAAACCAGCAGCTTTAACAGATCTTTGTTTGCATGCCCATGATTCTTCAAGTTCTCAACAATATGCTTAACACACATTCTGTGTTCAGCAAATGGTAACTCCTCTTTGACAGCATTGATAAGTCCCTGCAAACATATGTGAAACTTAGTTAAACGCCTAAATGATATACAGTTAAAAATGAGTAAAATCGATTAGTACATAAGCAAAAAAATACTAAGATGCTTACCTTTGATCTATCCGAGATAATGACTATTCCATTTCCAGTTTCAAGACCTAAATCATGCTTTAGCAACTTCACAAACCACAACCAGTTTGGCCCATTCTCCTTTTGTGCCACTGCCCAAGCAATGGGATAAATCTGATTGCATGCATCATGTCCAACAGCAGTAAGCAATACTCCTTTGACTGTAGCTTTCAAAAACGTGCCATCAAGACCTGTAATTGGACGACAACTCGATCTCCAAGTGTGTTTAAGGCTTTTTATACATATATAAATCCTGTCAAACACATCTTCACCAGCCGCATTCCTATATGTATCAACTATAGCAGTTGATTCCGGATTTGTAAACACTATTTCTTCTGCATATCCACGGAGATGAGCAAACTGGTCCTTGTACTCCCTCTCTAGCCATTTCAATGCTAAATGTCTACCTCTCTGACATTGATTTCTTGTACTTACTATTTTTCAGTTCTCTTTGATAAGAGCTTGAATTTCTTCAGGCATACAATTCGGTTGTATCCTCAACTTGTCCAGAAACAGATTCTTAAGTATGCTGCACTTTCCATTTCGACTGCAACTGTGAGACTCATACCTTGTTTTCACAATCCACTTGCGACTTGGTTTATCATAGGAGCAATACACCCTCCACTTGAATTTTCCAGCAACGCCACATCTATAGGATAGTTTAGTCTTATCCCATCTATCTTGTCTGATGTTTCTTCCTTTGCTTAATGCATAGTCTACCACAGCTTGCTTGAACTGATAGCCTGTATAAAACTTTGTTCCTAAAGCTAAGGTATCGTCCTTCTTCTTTGCCATTCTTCTTTTTTTTACAACTAAATCATCTTCTTCTGATTCATCCGAGCTCTCTGGAATTGTGTGTCTAATCCTAAACTCCTCATCAACAAAATCAGCAACATCTTCTTCGATTTCATGCTCATACCGTCCGGCTATATCCTCCTCTTCATCTCCATTTTTTGCTTCCTTATCTTCATCACACTCTTTTTCATTTCCATTCTCTGTTTGCATCTGTTCTACATGCTCCTCTTCATCTCCATCATACTGATTTTCAAACTCATTGTCCATGTTTTCTCTGAAACAAAAACAACAAGCTGTGACGAAAAATTGAAAAAAACAACAGTAACTCCACGATCACAATCAAAGAAGAGATAATTGATCAAATATAAATGAAGTCGAGTATAGAAGACGGAAAAAAAGAACAATTTCTCAAAGCTTTAAGGGATTCGATGTTTACCTCACAATTATTTCCATTTCATTTATCTCCATCCTTCGACCTCCATGAACACCAATAACCTTGAATTTTCTTTCGATTGGATCCTTAGCTCTGAATTTTCTCTGGATTAGCTCTGATTCACTCTTTCTCTCTCTGTAGCAAAATCCCTCTGAAGCTCTCTCTCGCTATGGTGTCGTTGTTGTCGAAGAAGAAGAACGCCAAACCCAACCTAATTCCCAAATTTTGATTTAAGTCATTGGTTTGGTTTTGCATCTGGGTTTAATCAATTTGGTTTGGGCCGGGTTTTAATAACCAACAAATTGAATTTGAGTTTAACAAGCAATCACAATTTCTTAAACGCGATTTTATTTAATTAATCGCAATTTTCAATTATTTGCATCGCAGGTGGAATTAAGCAGAAAAAAGAGTTTGGGAGGGAATATCATTACATATGCAAGTTTAGGGGGGAATATCATGAGTTTTAAAGTTTGGGGGGAACCAAGCAGAAGCTGTATTATAGGGGGGGAGAATACACAGTCAACCCTTATCGAAAATAATCTTATACTATATTATATTATATACTATATTATATATTAATTTTATGGAATAATTATATTTGATATAGTATGTACATAAATATTTCTTGTAAAGAGAAGAAGAAAGAGAAAAAGACGAGAGAGGAGGGGAGGAGAGGAAAGGGGAGGCAAGGAGAGGGGAAGAAGAGGAGGGGAGATGAGATGAGCGGAGGTGAGTAGAGGAAAAAGAAAGGAAAAAAGAAAAAGATAAGGAAAAGGATGAGAAGAGAAGAGAAGATCGTAGAGAAAAGAAATAAACAAAAAAACAAAAAAAATTAATTTTGTATATACTGTAGAATATAAAAAAATATTATAGCACCTAATTTACTATGGTTATTTGATAAATTTAGCTTGGAAATATGGATCATATGACCTAATTTCCCAAATAAAGTCATATATTTTATATTTTCTATACATTTTGTTGTTGTTATGTACTATTCACACTGACACAAACATGTTTTCGAATCTAAATCTGAATTACATACAGCGTCGTCCCTAATACTTAAACACACCGGTCGTTCAGTTTAAAGATGTCCCTGTGAGACGGCATTTCTGTTTTGTTAATGACAGATTACACACTTATCATAATCTGATTTTAAAATCCAAAACTGTGTGATAGTTATATAATAGTATAACTTTGTCTATTCTAGTTTGTCCGTTTCTAATTTAATGGTAGTATTTGTTATAGCCAATATGTGGGTTCTTCCTTATTTTACCAATCAATAAATTTGTTATTTTTTGTTCGTTGTTATTATTTATACAAAAAGCTGTCCAAAAATTTAGAACGGAAGTAACATGTGGGAAAACTCTACCAAAATTTTTACAGAACTAAAAGATAAACGGCATTGCCTTATTTTGTAGATGGTGTAACCAAAATATTCTTTTCACGAGGGTGAAACTTGAGTGAAACATCTCCAAAAGTTAGAAGAAGTTTTTTAATATTTTTGTATAATGATTGGAACACTAACCAAAGTTTAGGATTTGAAAGAAGCCATTCGTTTACTTTGGGTTCTTATTTTGGGTACTAATATATACACTGGTAAGTCATATTTATTATTATCAACAACATATAAAACTAAAAGTATCACAATTCAATTTATAGTTTTTTTTCAAGTTCAATTTATAATTGATACATATATATATTTTATAATAAAAAATTAGTTTAGCTAAACTAAGATTACAATAAATATAATTTAGCCAAACTAAGACTCTTAAGTTTTCAGTTCTTTTTTTCCTACTATATAGTATTTTTTTCTTGTTGTTGTTGTGGAGGTTTTTCATTAAACCAAATTAAGGCTATTTCGATTACGAAAGCTCCTTTTGGGTTCAAAGCTGTTTGTTTTTGTTAAGAGCAAATTGAGGTTTCTCTCTTTTTTTTTTTCTTATTCTTTTCACTTTAAAGTATATATATATATACCTCTTCAACAATCTTTTATTTATAAGCGTTTTCTTGGAAATAGTCTCTCATAAGTTTATTTCAACAAGAACAAAATCAGTTCTTGGTACATTTTGACTTGTCATCATGCATGCATATAAAAAGTACTAGTATATATGTTCATTGATGATGCGTGTATCGTATAACCATATATTTAAATTTGGTAAAATGTTTATTGCTGATAAAAATATTCAACGAAAACATTTATTCTTTTTGTTTTAGTTATAGTAGCTAAGTAATGAATGTCTTTAACAAAAGAAATGATATCATGTATGTTCAAAGTAGAAACTTTTCTAAGCGTATTTTATTTTTCTTTTGTTTTATGTCGAAAAAATACAAAGAATATGGTATTTTGAAAAAAATACGCTAAGTAGAAATTTTATAAATTAATAATGTTGGAATTTTGATATTTTATTAATTTATAGAGTTATTAATTTATCAGTTTTAGATAAAAAATTTTTTATTAATAATTAATTAAAAATAATATTTTCTTTAAAATTTATAATATTTTTTAAAGTTTTCATTATAAAGATGGATATAAATGATAAAAATATTTCAATTTTAATATGAAAAACAATAATATACTCATATTTTAATAAATTATCATAATTATATATTTATATAAAATTATTTTATATGATATTTATTAATTTATGATTTTAATGAGACTATATTTTATATAAGTTTTTTTAAAAAATTATTATCTTATTAATTTATAGATTTGTATTACATTTTGAACCAGCCTAACTCCAAACTGAGCAAAATTATTAATTTTATCGAATATTAATTTATCGAATATTAATTTATAGAATTTCTACTGTATTTATATTTTCGTTAACTCTAATATAAATAGAATATTTTATTCACATGCGAATTCATTATATGAGAGACATATTTCAATAATATAACTTTCCGTGAAAAACACGCTAGTAAAATTTAATAAAGCAAGGTAAAGTAGGGACTATGAACAACAAAAGAGAAAACATAGCTTTTCTCAGTTTATAATTATCATGAAACCTGCCAAAATATAAAGAAGATAAAAGAGCTCATAACTTATATGGAACTATTCGTACATTACATAGTTATCGTAAATGATCATCGTCCTCTATTAGTTCAGAGGATAATGTCTTTCCTAATATTTTCAAGAAACATCCGAAGCTCTCTGCTTTTTCTGCAATGTTCTTCATCATCTGTCTCCGAATCACTCAGCTCAATTACAGTCTCAAGTTTGTGATCATGGCTCTTCTCTTCTTGATAACTTCTTGACACACTCCGGGAACGAGATTCAGGACAAGGGCTTATCAGATCAATGACTTCTGTTTCCTGATACAATGAACAAGAACTCAGGCCAACACCAACGAATCTATCCATGGCCGACCAATCATTATTTGAATTTTCTTTAGCAGGCGAATCGATTAGACACAAGTAGTTATGTTTCTTGGGGTTTTGCTGTTCTTTCTCTTGCTCTGTTTCTTCTATGGTGCTTGTAGCTACTACAGAGGTTGAACTGAGAGCAATTTGTTGTAGTTTGAGGCTGAGTTCGATAAGAGAAGAGGATTTGTCCGGCGAACTTGTTTCCGTCTGTTTTGATTTAGGTTGTTTTTGTTTCGGCTTCTTCTTCCTTGCTTCCATTTTCTCCTTGAACTCTATGATCTTCTCAGGACAAGCCCTGAAATATGCAAAACCAATTGTAGACCAATTATTCAATCTAAAACTGAACCATCTCTGGTGCTCTGTGACAAATAAATAGTAGCATTTGGTTGCATAAGTAGATCGATGAAGTTACTTCAGACACTATTTTTAGTTCACTGATTCATCCTGAATTTACTTTTTTTTTGCATTAAACGGCAAACAACAGTGGTTTGATCAATGTCAACCACTTGAGCTAAATGTTCAGGTCTGTAGTCAACTTTATTCACAGCTATGAGTAAATGATAGTGAATGTCAAATTTTGATCATTGTCATTACCTTTCTACAAGATCTGCAGGAACAATGGACGTCTCTAACCCGTTTAGATCATTCCATGAGACTTCAAAACATTCTCGTCCCTGTACTTTTCGAGTCTTTACGATTTCAGACACCGGGCATTTCTCAGGCACCTGCGTCTGCATCTTCTTGTTTGTTATGGCATGTAGAAATTCTATGTTGTCATATAGTTGCTTCAACGGTTGACTACACGTGGTTCTTGGACTCAATAGCCAGAGTCCGAGACATGGAAAACTAAAAAAATCTATAGCTTATAAGTTGCAGAGAGAGAAAGAAACGTACCTTGTGGAGAGGAAAGTTAACGCCGCCAACCTCAGTTGATTTTGATTGTAGAATAGCGAACTTCCTCAGATTTCTTTCAGCAATTTTAGGAAGTATGTATTCATCTAAATGAAAATATAGAGAAGAAGAAGAAACGTTGGCTTCACGATTGTTTATGTACAATGTCTGCAAGTGCAACCTTCGAGGAAGGAATTGTAAGTTCAAGTCATACCTGTTTTCTCAGGAGTCCACTCAAAGAATTGATGGCATATCTCCTGAAGCTTGGTGCGCTGGAAAGAGAACTCAGCCAGAGCCCTGCAAAACCAGAGTTTAAATCTATACACTGCGAAGTGTTTCCTCCTGGCAGATGATTGCTACATAGGCATATGCATAGGTATATACAGGAGCAGAACTATCGTTACAGGACTGTAAACAAAGAAATGGAAAGAAGGAATAACCTGGAAACTGTATTAGAGTCTGCTGGGTGACACTTGGGATTCATGAATGCATCAATCACCTCTTTGATCTCTTCCAGTCCTTCTGGATCATGATTACTCCCTGAACCAAGTTGCAGTTGCGAAAAGAGCTTCTATGAGAAAAAAAAAACTTTTCTTTGAAACACCGCAAAATCACTAACTGCATAAACAAAGCATGTCATATCACAAAACACAAGAAGATTTTGTTGCTTCAAATACCATTTATAACCACTAAGGGCAAGGTCCCCTTTTTACTGCACACTGCTTTCTTCTTCGAGTTTCTCGGCTTTTTCACAAAGGAAAGTCCTTCTGATGAAACTTTTTCAAGGATAGCATTTTCTCCAACAGACTTAACAATCTCGCAAGCTTTTTGCTGTTTACAGAAGAAATTCCATCAGAGGTCTGTAACAACCCAACTATTAATGAAACATGCAAACTAGAAAAACACAAAAATCTTATAGATAATACTTTAAGCGCTTCATTTATCAACACACCTGACGAATACCACGAACTCCCTGAGAGTAGTCACTGCCAAGAAGAAGCGCCAGAGCTATCTGGACCTCACCAAAAACATTATTGTATCAGTGACCTTGTAACATGATGAAATCTAGTATCTATTTCAAAATTCTTTGACGTATGGAACAAAAGACAACAATCTATAGCTGGTTTTCTACTCTGCTAATGCAGCTAAAAAATGAGTTGATCCCTTAAAACTACAATGTTGCAGTAAGTTGAAAAACCAAAGGCCACCTTTTGCAAGTATGCATTCATCAGTCATACTTTTGCCGATCAAAACATTTTGTACTAGCACCGTGCAGCTTCGTGAAATTGAAAGTTCAGGGTTAAGTATATAAAGCTAATGACTAAAAGAGACTCGTTAAGTTACCAATGAGTTCCGTCCAAGACCAAGCTTTTTCTTGATGTCTTCCATCTCATAGCAAACAACGTGACCTCCTTCACCTAGTTCATTGGCAGATTATTAGGCCATGTTTAATACCACTAACAATATCGGAAGATAAGAGAAACATCAAGACTGCTAAAGAGTCTCTCTCCACTCACCAAGGCATATCTCTCTGTAGACAGTCTTTGCGCCAAAAAGGAAAATATCTGAATCAGAGCTAAAACAGGCGTCCTGTCAGTGATCACGAAAACCACAATTTATTATTGGCTATTGAGTTAACATCATGACGAACAAGAAGCTAACTATGAAAAAATGTTTCTTACACATAAGGATTCCGAGTTTAATAGAGCACATTGTGCCTCAGCTTCCTCAACCCTGCATTTGAAGGAGAAGAGAATCTGTTTATCGATCTCATGTTTAACAATTTCATACTTAGCATAACTAAAGCAACACACACACTCAAACCAAAGTCTCATTGTCAATCTATGCGTACAGTCTTGAAGAATTACCCGTCTAAACAAAGTATCCCCAGTGTTGAAGCAATAACCTTTGCCTCTTTTATCATGCAGGAGAACTCAGACCCCATGTTTCTTTTGAGTGAGGTCTCTTTCCCAGGTTCAACGGCATCTTCAGCGACCTGGCTGAACCAATAAAGCATTATTCGAAATAATAACTCGGAGAACTAGTCATCATATGCAAATGATAGAAGTGCCTCCTTTGGGATCATTTGTACCTCGAATCTTGATTTTAATCGACGCCTGTAAGTTGGTACTTTGATTCCAGGAATTGAACCATCTACAATTGACAAAGCACATAGCAGTAAGTCACGAATGCTCAAAATCATGAACAAAAACAATTCTTTAAAGCGAAGCATAGATAACTAAGAACTGATTATGATCACTCATGCTTCTGCTACAACCATTCTCAAAGACAACAATACAAATGCTGTATTAACAACAGACCCACCAGCGAAATGACACAAATTTTGCAAACAGATAACTTCATTACCTGAGACTAGGATGATGGAGCAGTTTAGGGCAATGAGGGCTCGGAGGCGATGAAAGAATCCTCGGAGATAAACTTTTTCTTTAGTGGCGCAATACGATTGGTTCACTTTATGCAATTCAACGATCCAGCACGAGAGATCCACGCATACCCTTTTGTTTCTACAGCAATTTCCAAACACAACGGAAGATCTCATCAAGACTCAATTTTTATTAGCGAAAAACCCAGACTTTGGAGGCGGAATTAAAGAGAAATAAAATTGAGACGAAGCAGCAAACTCACTGAAGATGATCGAGTGGGTAAGTCTTCTTGCAAGGCTCCAATACATCCCAGAGATGCTTCACCCCCATTAGCTTCCGCTTCCGCTTCGAGAGAGCGAGAGAGAAAGAGAAGAAGAGGGGGAAGAAAATAAATTTGAAATTCTGAATATTTTGAAATTTGAAACTCCTAAGATAATAATATCTTTTCGTATTTGTCTTACAATGGAAAGTGATTTTTTTTTCAGTTTCGATAGTGTAATTTTTATTGTAGAAAAGTAATAATGTAATTTGAAGTTTCCATTAACCAGAAATAGATGTTGTAATCATAAAGATCCAAAAAGTACACACAAAGTCCAACATATTTATTGATTGAGCTATATATACTACTTACTCCATAATTAAAACACTGAAAAATATCACGAATTTCTCAAGAGAGATCGTTGTTGCCTGCCATTAACATTTGCCTTTACTCCTCCTTTGCAGCATCACCATTTGCAGCATCCTTCTTCTCCGTGGTGGTTTTCTCGTCAATGCTTTCATCGCGGGTAACCGCGGGAGCTTCTTCTTCTCCAGTGTTTGTTGTAGAAGGAGCTTCTTCTGAGCCAGCAAGCTTTGTTTCAGAAGGTTCTGAGCTTTCTTTGCCTTCTGCATCCTTCTTCTGAATCGTTCCGACTTTGACATACTTGCTCATGAACTTGTACTCCCAGTCTTGCAACGCCTCTAGCTCAAATGGGCCGAGACCCGATATGTCTCCTGTCAAGTCGTTATCCTCAAACGACATCTTTGCCAAAGCTCGGCTTGCATCTTTCCCTGCAAACAGAGCATATGGTCCACCTGGTCCATAGAACATCCTGCAGAATAAAAAAGAACAGATGTCAGGTGAGTATACGTGACCTAGTAAGAGAGTTAAAACACGGTTCAAGATATGTGAATATATGATTCATATGAAGAAGTACAGCTGATGAACTATGTGCAATAAAAACCACCGTATGCATACCTATACATTGTCATCTGTGTTTCAATGTGCATTGATGAAAGTGTCTGTGTATTTTGTTACTATGAACAATGAAAATGGTATGATAACTGAAGTGATTACTTCGTCTAACCAAAAAACCTATTGATCAAGATGATGTTTTCAGTAACTAGATTATAAAAGAACTCTGTGTTGTTGATAAAATCAGGGATCTAAATAACTGCAGCACTGTTTATCTACCGACAATGTCAAGCCAAAACTTCATTAACAAACGTCACGGAACACACAAAAGTAAACAAATGCAGATATCCAAGCAATGAGCGGATTCATAATACGTGAGAAAAATTGTAACACATTAGTAATTTAGAAGTCAAAACCTTTCACGATTTTCGTATGTTATCATTCTCATATGTACCCTCTATACTAACCCGCGATGATTTCTTAATACAGATTTTCAGAGTACGGACAAAGGTAGAGACTTTTAAGGTAACTGGAATACAAAACACTTCTAACAGTGCTTCTGATAATATTCTTCAAACTTCCAAGAAGAGAAATGAGAAAAAAAGCACTAAAGATGGCAAAAGCAAGTAAAAAGAGAACCAAAAGCAGACTGCATAACATTATGAACAAAGGAGAGAATATTCATACCAAAGAACAAAGAAGGGATTATTCATTCAAAAAGATTACCAAAAGTTGTCAGCTCAACGAAAAAGAAATAGCTTTAACATAAGATCCATCCATAGAGGCATACTAGTAGAGAGAGACTATAAGCGATGAAGATAAGCAGAACTAGATAGTTACTGAAACTTCCGATTACAATCAAACAAATCAATCAAAACCCCCAAATTTTCAGCAATGATCTCCAGAATCCAAACATCCAGCTACAATCACTGAAATCTCGAATTGGATTCAAATGTTTCTGGGATTTAACTTGTGATTGTATTTGGATTCAACCATAATTGATAAATAAGTGAAGAGTATCAAGTATACCTGCTCTGGGAAACATCATAGATCTGGCCCTTGATAGCCATGAGAAGGGGCTTTTTGGAATCGGAGCCGTCATACTGCTTAAGCTCCTCCTCGGTGATTTCTCCGAGCTGAATCGGCGGCGGAAGAGGCTCCGACTGTGGGTAAACCTCCGTAGAACGCGGCTGGTGAACTTCGGGAGAGACGAAGAAACCGGAGACAACTTGATAGACGGCGAAAGCGAGAGCTACCACGGTGAAAAACGCAGCCGGAGAAAGTCCAGTGTAAGCTGTTATAGCTTCCTTCAGCGTCTCCCACATCTGCAGCACCATCATGGAGCAATCCAGAGAGAAGAGAGAGAGAGAGAGAGAGATGAAGTGGTTACTGGTCCGTAACGTTGATACTTAATTTTTTTTTTCTTCCTGAGAATTTATAATTTGTCTGCAATATTTCGCTAAATTAAGCGATAAAATATGCTAATAGTAACAAATGGTCAAATACGCAACAACATTTTCAAATATTTTAAAAAAAAAAATCAACAGAGCCGTCAATAAATGAGCGTTGATTTCCAAGGACGAACAATTAAAAGATGTCACTTTAAGTTTTTTTAATCTGAAAATATGTACATTTTTGGTTAGCAAGAGGTTTTTATATGCATCATACATACAAACGTGTTTAAGAACATCGTTACACCTAACTAAAAGAGTGGCTGAGATTAACAAAACGGTGCCGTTATTGCCGTCTTGAGAAGAGTAGTAGGTGAGAGGTAGATGTGATAAGAAAACAAATGTGACTAAAATAATATCTCTCCTCCTCTTTATTGTCTAAAAACATGTTTTTTTTCTATAAATTTGGTATATACGATACAAACAATAAACATTTAGAAGTTGAGTATAGTGTATAATATATATATATATATATGTATGAGACTATAAAAAGTTAAATCAGAATCGACAGGGGCGTCTCAAAACTTCAGAGAGACCTTGTTCAAAAATTAAAATTCTACCCTTAATTTAAATATATTTTTTTATAATTATAATAAAATAAAAATTAACTATATAATTTATTGAACAATATTTATATAATTTTAAATATCTTCTGTAAGATTCTTTTTGTACAATTTTTAATAAATTTTTTAATACATATATTGCTATAATTTGATAATTTTCATTTAAATAACACCATTATCCAACTTGTTTTGAAGCATATTCTTTAACTAATTTACATCTTCTACTATAATTTTAAATTCCGTATACATTGAAAACATAAGAGCGCTTTAAAATTATGATGCTTCAAATTACTCAATTGATGAAGATGAAGATTTTATTTATTATTTTGCTTTATAACAAAAGTGTTTACAGTAATTTTCTAGAAGAATTATTAAAGAAAATGTTTAGTTTTTTTTTGAAAATTTATAACAAGACTAATTTATAGCAAATATTTAAATATAATCAAGTTTGAATGTAAACATTCCTTAATCATATTAAATATTAAAGCCATTCATGTTCACTTTATTTTTAAATCTAATTACCTTATAACTAAAATTTATTATTGAGATTTTTGGACCCTTTAATAAACTCTTTAATGGACTCTTTAAATTTTTGGACCCTGTTCAACTGCTCCACCTGCACATGCAAACAGACGGCTCTGAGAATCGAATTTACCAGATTCATTATTATCGCTGGTTCCTGTACGCAACCATATGAACTTATCCTTATCCTAATGTATATTGCGTTTTGTGTATATTTGATTAAAGAAAATCTAAATAAATAAGGCAATTAGGTTCAATGGTTGTATGTATAATAAAATATTGGCATTGAGATCATCAAAAAGAAGAAAATTACAGGAAACCTAGTTCACGCAAATCCGACGACGAGCCTCTGCGTATGTCAATTTTTCTCCAACTTATGACTTATATTCACCCAATTTCAAAGCTTCAATTCTGCTTCAGTAGCGTATATGGATCATATATTTTATTTCATCTATGTAAACGTGTTTAATAGAATGATTGCTTATACCTTGAGAGTCTATGTATCCAAATTGAAAACTCTCTAGTTGAGCCATATAGGCTGTAAGAGCTATTTACTTTTACGTCACTGAAAGGTTTCTTGTAGCTTAAGTTTGTTTGTTCTTTCTTTCTAATCAACTTTACGCAGAATATAAAAAACAAAACTATATAGAGCTAGGTCACTTATGGTTTTACCCTTACTCAATGCAGCAACCAACTCTGCATTATGGTTACGTCCTTGGCTTTTGTTACAGCCTGTCCTGTACTTGTTCCCGTGAAACCAAGAAGATGCGTGAAGATGGAGAACAGTTCACAAGCAGCAGTTCTTAGAATCCCGAGCTTCGCTGGGTTAAGGATTTCCAATGCATTGGACCTTCTTACGGCAAAGCCTGATCAAGATTTCTTTTGTAAGGTTAACCTTTCACTCTCGTCCAGGAAAGCAAAAGCTAGCCGATGTGTAACGAAAGCCATGTTTGAGCGGTTTAATCCGAAAGCAATTAAGGTGATAATGCTGTCTCAAGAGGAAGCTCGAAGACTTGGCCATAACTTTGTTGGGACTGAGCAGATACTCTTGGGTCTGATTGAGGAACGGACTGGGATCGCTGCAAGGGTTCTTAAATCCATGGGAATCACTCTTGAAGAATGTCGTGTAGAGGTTGAAAAGATCATTGGGAGAGGCAGTGGGTTTGTGGCAGTGGAGATCCCGTTTACTCCTCGTGCAAAGAGAGTCCTGGAGTTGTCTCTAGAGGAAGCTAGACAACTCGGTAAGGATCTGTTTCTGTTTGTTGGTATTTAGTATGTTGTGAGCTTTCTTGACTGATGAAGCTTGTTTCTTATCAATTAAGCAACCTTTTTTTGTTGTTTTTGAATTCTAGGGCATAACTACATTGGGCCAGAGCATCTTCTGCTTGGTCTTCTTCGTGAAGGGAAAGGTGTTGCAGCTCGTGTCCTGGAGAATTTAGGTGTAGACCTGAGTAACATCCGGACGCAGGTAAATGCATCAATTCTTGAATGCTCACAGACACTGTTCTTGATTTAGGTTTTGAGTATAGTATTTTTGTTTCTTTGAAGGTTTTGAGGATGCTCGTGAAAAACAAGGAAGCAAACACTGACGAGAACAGTGTAACGAAAACAATGTTTGACCGGTTTACAAGAAAAGCTATTATGGTTATAATGCTGGCTCAAGAGGAAGCTCGGAGTCTTGATCGTGACACTGTTGGGAGTGAGCAAATGCTGTTGGGTCTAATTGGGGAAGGGACTGGAACCGCTGCAAAGGTTCTTAAATCCATGGGGATCACTCTTGAAGATTGTCGTGTAGAGGTAAAGAAGATCATTGGAAGAGGCAGTGGAGTTGTGGCAAAGGAGCTTTTCACTCCTTGTGCAAAGCGAGTCCTGAAGCTGTCAAAAGAGGAAGCTCGACAACGCTGTAAGGATCTGTTTCTGTTTTGTCTTTATTTTAGGCTTGGAGCTTTTTCTTATATGTTGTGTAAATTACAACATAAGCTTTCTTGACTTATACGTTTCTTATCAACTAAGCAACCTTTTTGTTGGTTTTTGAATTCTAGGGCATAACTACATTGGGACAGAGCATCTTCTGCTTGCTCTTCTTCGTGAGAGGGAAAGTGTTGCAGTTCGTGTCCTGGAGAACTTGAGTGCAGACCCGATTCACATCCTGGCGCAGGTAAATGCATCAGTTCTTGAATTCTCACAATCATTGTTCTTGATTTACGTTTTGAGTATAATTTTGGTTTCTTTCAGGTTTTGAGTATGCTCGGGGAAAACAATGAAGGAAACAGTGAATAAGTGATAAACGGAGACATGAAGAAGAAGAAGAAGACGTTTCAGAGGAATTTGCGATGATTTGAAATTGTTTTTTACTTATTTCTACTCGTGTCAAGATGGTTCGTGATCTTAGAGTTATCACTCTACATACAAACTTTTGGCATTGCCTACATTTATATACACACATGATAACGTTCAAACCAAAAACAACCCACAAGAAGAAAACACACAAACAGTATAAGAAAAGAAGGAAGCCAAAAAGTCCTTTCACAGATTACACAAAATCATAAATAAAAGAAACAACATCAAAGATGAAAAGAACGCACTTCATCAACTTTCCACTCGTCTTCCTCATACTTGTACCATCTCACAATCCCTTCATCGTTCTCAGTCCTCTGACACATCACACACGTCTTATGCTCCATACACGTCAAGAACCTCTTGAGCCTCGAGGCTTTCTCCATTATCGTCTCATCGAGCTCTCTCACAACCACTTTCTGGTTCGGATGCCACCTACTGTACTCCACGAGGTGAGAGTGAGAGATGTTGAGCACTTCGAGTTCCGGCAACCCGTCAAGCACTTTCAGTAGGGCTTCCCGTTTGATCGCAGAGCACCTAAGGCTGAGGGATTTGAGGTTCGGGAGACAAGTGATGAGCGTGCTCGCAAAGAAGATCTCGAACGGACCCATGATCTTGAGCTCCTTGAAGTTCTTGCAGTTCTTGGCGATCTCCGTTAAGAGGTAAGGCGGGTTTGCGATGCTCGGCATCGTCAGTGACTCGAGATCTTTCCAGATCCTTATCGCTTTACATATCCCAGTCTTCTTTATCCTGTTCCAAGCAGGAAGCACGACTCGTCTCAGCCCTGGACACCTGCAAAAAACATTAGCATTTTACAAGATTCAAAACTCGGTTACAAAACCAAAAGTGAAACAAAGTTTACAAGACTTAATACCTTTCTGCGGTGTACGTAAGCTGATCATCGCTCAAGAACAAGTTGAAATGGAAGATCAAGGTCCTCGTGTTTCCTCCGCTAAGGTTCATGGAGAGTTTCAGGATCCTTGTGAGGCTCTCGTCGGATCTGCTTTCCACGTAGACGTAAGGCTCGAGTGGGATCTTGATGAAAGATGATCTCATGTGAGAGAGATCAAGCGTCTTCCACAAGATGGGATCGCAACAAGCAGCTCTCCACCCTCGACAAACGTGAGCTAACCCGGAGATGAGCTCAAAGACGCTGAACTTCTGGAAGATTCTCACTAAGATGTCAGTGTCTAGCTCTTCCCATCTCCTCACTCGACGACTCTCATACTCTTCTTCCATTATTCTTTTCTTGACGTGCCCTGCGCAAAGCATAAGAACGTTACTCAGCTCTTCTTCTCCATTATATACGTCTCTTTTCCTCATAACCATGAGAGATTCTAATCAATCAATTCTCACGATTTGATTAAATTGATAGCAATCAATGACTTCTTGCTGCCGTTATCAAACAGAACACCAAACGTTTTTTTTTTTTTTTTTTTTGGGGGGGGGGGGGGGGTTAGAAACTAAGACGGAAACAGAAAACCAGAGTGAAAAACTCAAAAAGAGAAACGATAACACCAACACGTAAAAAGGAAATAACAAGAAAATAGAAATCCTATTTTGAAATATGGAAATAACAAAAATAAAAGAGAAACGGAAATTACAAATCGAATCCAATTCCAACGAAATGAAAGACACAAATGATCCTAGACAAAGTCACACGAGTCTCATCAAACTCGGAAAAACAATTTGTCAAAAAATTTCAAGATCGGCAATTATTGTCAAACGCATCACATCAAGCACTTACTTATCAGCTCAAAAGAAGACATAATTACTCGGAATTACATGTAAAGACAGAGAAATCGAAAAACTCAGAGGATCAAGATCGTAAACTCTGTAAAAAAAAAACTCATGATTGAATCACGCAAAATGATATGTAAAGTAATCGGATTTCGAAAAATCCATAGGACTAAGATCGAAAAGCCATCAAGAATCTAGCCATCAATCGATCTGATCTCTTGAACATTCATAAATTCAGTCGAGCTGAAAACGTATAACACGACATAGATCTCGATTCTCCCCATTTCTCAATTTCACAACCGAGATGAACACAAACGAAACCAAGAAATGATTAGATCAAAAACCAGAAAGCTGAAACACGCTAAGGGGCACTGAGAAATTAAGAACCTTTGGAAAAGCAAAAATCGTTTGGCGACGACGACACCGTTACTAATCGTGTCTCTCTCTGTCTCTCTCTCTCTCTAGCCAACGAAAGTAGATATGTAAAAAACAGAGTTTCGATGTCGGAATGATCGGTTTTACTTGGTTTATTATGTCTTCGATTTTGATTTTTTGGTTTGACGGAGTTTTCGGACATAACCGGTCTCTCTCTCAACACAAACCCTTATCCGTAAGGCCAAAATTTTCTTTTGGGGTTGACTTATTAAAAAAGTAGTTAAATCTGACGGTTGCAAAACACTGTAGGTAATCTAATGGTTGATATGTAATTTTGTTAGGTGGATGAGGATTTTATAAACGGCGGCGATGCGTGTAGGAGACGAGAAAGAGAGATAAAAAAAAAGAAAGAGAGATCTCTTTGCTTCCTATCTCTTTCCCCAGACGGGCCAACCATTAATAGAGTCGCTCGCTTTCTCGCACTTCTCCATCGAGAGGCCAAAGGTGTCGACGGTAAAACTCAAACCCTTTTCTTCAGTCGCCTACACTTACTCTCCCTTTCTCTCTCTCTCTCTCTTTTTCGTGGGTTTTGTGTTTCACTGAGGAAGCTTAGGTTTCTGTTTCTTTGTTGTGTTAAACTTCGAAAAGGTGGGGTCTTTTTTAATTGGTGGTTTCATTTTTTTGACTTTTAGGAATCTGGGTAGCCTTCACTTGCTTGTATTGATTTGTAAAAATGCTTGCTTTGAAGATTGAGATTAGGGTTGTGTATTCGCGTATCGATTTTTTTTTTCATTGTCTTGGTAGTGAAATAGACTTGCCATTTTGGTTGCTTCTCGCCAATAATGCTTATGAGATGAGACAAGAAACATGCTTAAGCGTAGGCTCTGAGTTGTGTGAAATGAACTAGTGGATTTATGTGTTTGAGCTCATTTTGTAAACGTGTTTAAGAGGTTGTTTTTTTCTTTGTTTTTATGATGTTTGTGTTTTGTAATCATCTAACAGAAGAAAAATCCAAACTTTATCACCATTTTGTCTTTTATTTTTGGTGTTAACCTAGATTGAGCTGGAACTAATGATTTACCATTACTCAATGCAGCCTCCAACTCTGCACAATGGTTACTATGACGAGGCTCTTGACTACTTGTACAGCCTGCCCTTCACTTGGTCCCCGAAGATATTTTCAGTCCAGCGAATACAGAAAACCCAGAGGATCTGTGAAGATGATGTACAGTTCACAACCACATCCTGTTCTGAGAATGCAGAGCCACGCAGGGTTAAGGCCTTCCAATGCGTTGGATCTTGTGGCAAGGTCTGCACAATGTTTCTTTCGTAAGGTTAACCCTCCAGTCTCATCCCGGAAAGGAAAAGCTAGCAGATTTGTAGTAAAAGCCATGTTTGAGCGGTTTACTGAGAAAGCAATTAAGGTGATAATGCTGTCTCAAGAGGAAGCTCGGAGACTTGGCCATAACTTTGTTGGGACTGAGCAGCTACTCTTGGGTCTGATTGGGGAAGGGACTGGGATCGCCGCAAAGGTTCTCAAATCCATGGGGATCAATCTTAAAGATTCTCGTGTAGAGGTTGAAAAGATCATTGGGAGAGGCAGTGGGTTTATGGCAGTGGAGATCCCATTTACTCCTCGTGCAAAGCGAGTCCTGGAGTTGTCACTAGAGGAAGCTAGACAACTCGGTAAGGATCTGTTTCTGTTTGTTGGTATTTTGTATGTTGTGAGCTTTCTTGACTGATGAAGCTTGTTTCTATTTAATTAAGCAACCTTTTTGTTGTTTTTGAATTCTAGGGCATAACTACATTGGGTCAGAGCATCTTCTGCTTGGTCTTCTTCGTGAAGGGGAAGGTGTTGCAGCTCGTGTCCTGGAGAATTTGGGTGTAGATCCTACTAACATCCGAACTCAGGTAAATGCATCAATTCTTGAATGCTCACAGTCACTGTTATGTCTTCTCAGGAAACATTGTCTTGATTACGTTATGACTTATGAGTATCATTTTTCAGGTTATACGTATGGTCGGGGAGAACAATGAAGTCACCGCAAGCGTTGGTGGAGGATCCAGCGGAAACAATAAATTAGCAACACTTGAAGAATATGGGACTAACTTAACTAAACTAGCAGAGGAGGTGATAAAAATGGCTAACTCACTTTTTTCTAGAAACTCTCAAGAAAGTGTCATGTTAATACTTGATGGCTTTTGCTGAAATTTGGTTTTTCACTTTCTGTTGCAGGGTAAACTGGATCCGGTTGTTGGAAGGCAACCGCAGATCGAACGAGTGGTCCAGATCTTGGGTCGAAGAACCAAGAACAACCCTTGTCTTATTGGAGAACCTGGAGTTGGAAAGACAGCGATAGCTGAAGGACTTGCACAGAGAATTGCCGGTGGTGATGTTCCTGAAACAATTGAGGGGAAGACGGTAAGAATTCTCTCATCTGCTCATTTGTAATGATTTTAAAGATGCTAAGAAGAGTTCACTTATATATGGCTTTTATGTATTTTATACCTTTACATGTTCTTGTTTCAGGTTATAACCCTTGATATGGGTCTTCTAGTGGCTGGAACCAAGTACCGTGGAGAATTCGAGGAGAGATTGAAGAAGCTTATGGAAGAAATCAGGCAAAACGATGAGATTATTCTGTTTATTGATGAAGTGCACACGCTGATCGGTGCAGGAGCCGCCGAAGGTGCCATTGATGCTGCTAACATCTTAAAGCCAGCTCTTGCAAGAGGTGAATTGCAGGTAAAATTTCCCATTCTTTTTGTACTATTAGCCTAATGATGTCAAAAATGTCAATTAATAAAACTGGAAACTCAAGGCTTTTTGTTTTTTTGTTTTTTACGGTTGTAGTGTATTGGTGCAACAACATTGGATGAGTACAGGAAGCACATTGAGAAAGATCCTGCACTGGAGAGACGGTTCCAGCCTGTGAGGGTACCTGAACCAACTGTAGAGGAAGCTATACAGATCTTGCACGGTCTCCGTGAGCGATATGAGATCCACCACAAGCTCCGGTACACCGACGAGGCCTTGGTTGCTGCTGCGCAATTGTCACATCAGTACATCAGGTTTCTTTCACCAACACAGAACATGTTGACAATGTCTTAGACAAGTTGCAGCATTTTCTCATCCCAATTTCTTCTCTTGAATGAACAGTGATCGGTTTCTTCCCGACAAAGCGATTGACTTGATTGATGAAGCTGGGTCTCGTGTTCGCCTACGTCATGCTCAGGTTCATATTTGCATGTTTCTCGTATTAACAAACCAAATCTTCTTTTTTAATCTGTTTGAGCTGATTGAGAATGGAAATGTTGTTTGTTTAGGTACCTGAGGAAGCTAGAGAGCTTGAAAAGCAACTCAGACAGATCACTAAGGAGAAGAATGAAGCTGTGCGAGGCCAAGACTTTGAGAAGGTATATCATCTTTGAGTTTTTCTTACTGTCTATAAACACAAGATTAGTGTTTAAAATTCTCCGAGCTCTTCTTTGACAGGCTGGTTCTCACCGTGACCGTGAGATAGAGCTTAGGGCTGAGATAGCTAATGTTTTAGCCAAAGGCAAAGAAGTGAGCAAAGCTGAGAATGAAGCTGAAGAAGGAGGACCTACCGTCACCGAATCCGACATCCAACACATTGTCTCCACCTGGACAGGAATCCCGGTAGAGAAAGTCTCGTCTGACGAATCTAGCCGCCTTCTCAAGATGGAGCAGACCCTTCACACAAGAGTCATTGGCCAAGACGAAGCCGTCAAAGCCATTAGCAGGGCCATCCGCCGTGCACGTGTGGGACTCAAGAACCCGAACCGTCCCATCGCAAGTTTCATCTTCTCTGGTCCGACCGGTGTGGGGAAATCAGAGCTCGCCAAGGCCTTGGCTGCTTACTACTTCGGTTCAGAAGAAGCAATGATCCGTCTCGACATGAGTGAGTTCATGGAACGACACACGGTTTCAAAGCTCATCGGTTCGCCTCCTGGTTACGTAGGATACACAGAAGGAGGTCAGTTAACCGAGGCGGTTCGACGCAGGCCCTACACGCTTGTCCTCTTCGACGAAATCGAGAAAGCGCATCCCGATGTTTTCAACATGATGCTTCAGATCCTAGAAGACGGGAGACTGACGGACAGCAAAGGAAGAACCGTCGATTTCAAGAACACGCTTCTGATCATGACATCAAACGTAGGAAGCAGCGTGATCGAAAAGGGCGGTAGGAGAATCGGGTTTGATCTCGACTACGACGAGAAAGACAGTAGCTACAACAGAATCAAGAGCTTGGTGACTGAGGAGCTAAAACAGTATTTCAGACCGGAGTTCTTGAACAGGTTGGATGAGATGATTGTTTTCAGACAGTTGACGAAGCTGGAAGTCAAGGAGATAGCTGATATAATGCTTAAGGAAGTGGTGGTGAGGCTGAAGGACAAGGAGATTGAGCTTCAGGTGACTGAGAGATTTAAGGAGAGAGTGGTTGATGAAGGATTCGACCCGAGTTACGGTGCGAGGCCGCTAAGACGAGCGATTATGAGGCTTTTGGAAGATAGCATGGCGGAGAAGATGCTGTCGAGGGACATTAAAGAAGGAGATTCTGTGATTGTTGATGTTGATGCAGAAGGAAAAGTGGTTGTGTTGAATGGGAACAATGGAGGTGGTGGTGGTCTCGTTGCTGATGAAGCCTTCGAGGATCTAATTCCTGTGTTGTAGAGGATAAAAGAGAAGAAGGTTCTAGAATTGTGAGGTCTCTGATTTGATTCGTTTTTCTACTTTTAATCTTTTTTGTTTCTGGATAATATTTTGCTCGGGAACCTATTGAGAATTTCCCACAAAAAAAAAAAGGATTTGGTTAGAAAAGAATCGAGTCAATTGCAGTGTTTTTTTCTTTTTCCCAAAAACTTAGTTGCGAAAATAAGTATACCAAAGTTTTACAAAGTCGAAAATGTGGAAAGGTAATAAATATAAAACAATGGCACTGTCACACCAATTCTTCGTGAAACTTACATTAAGAGAATATACAAAACGAAAATTTCGTCTAACAAAGAGAGGAAGAGGCAACAAACCTATTAAGAGACGAAAAAGACATTACTAAGAATCAGCATCGAGATCGTGATTCGAAGGAGAAGAAGTAGGAGATGGAAGCTGATCGATTTCTTTTCGAGAAGCTTCCCATAACTGTTGCTCTATTCCCAGTTTCCTTAGCTCTATTAAACCCCTCTCCACTGAAGACAAGCAAAATGGAAAACTTTAGTTTTTTTTTTATCACTATGAATTTTTATACTCCTCATTAAAGCTTGCTTTTACGAAATGGCTAAGTCTGGTTTTTACCATCCAAGGAATCGTGAGAACTCGAGGATCTCCCGCCGCTACGGCTGATCCATAACTGGACACGTTCCTCTGCAATGTCTTCTTCCACACCGTGTAGCTTAGCTCTGCCCCAGTAGTACATCAGCCATGCCTGCATTGTGTAATTTGTAACAATCAAGACGATACTTTGATTGAAACTCATAAGCAAAAGATCTACTACATCTGTCTTTCTAGTTAAAGGCAAAAACCGCAATCAAGATACCATCAAGATCCAGCCATATAGGTCTTGGAATCAGCTAGTGTTGGTAACGCCAAATCTTGTAACTCATGTTTGAGGTGTGGGTACTTTTGGTTCGATATGGTTCTTTTTTAACATGTGATGAATAATGCAGGTGAGCACAAGGCATGCAACACGAAGCATAGTGGGTACGTGTCAATTTGAAGGACAGTGTATGAGAGAGTACCTGCTTAAAGGTAACATCTTCTTGTTCCACTTCACTCAGTTCTGCATTTAAAAACATTCAAATTACTGCCTGTACCTGATTTGAGTCGACATATGATGATATTATGTGTACCGAAAAGATAAAATTTACAACCACAGACAACCCTTTTGGGTAGGCATGGATGGTCCTATCTTTATCGCGGTCAAGAGTTTTCAGGTTATTTTTTTCTCTGACCATTTTCGTCTGCTAATTGAACAACTCATGCATTATGTCAAAGACCGAGCGGATTTGGCTTAGACTAGACGCGACCCTTAAACAACATCCAAGCTGGTGAGGGTTTCACCCCAAGAACCTCAACGTTGGGGTGGTACACAAAGAGCAAAGAAAAAGCAAAAAAGGAAGGCTTCTCTCTTTTAGAATTAGAGAGAGTTTTTCCCTTACCATATGCATCTATAAATCTGGATTCTCCATGACCTTTCGAATCTGTAAAATTGAGGAAAACAAAATATTTGAAATTAGCTTTTAGTTATCACAGGATTGCCAATAACGAATGTGACCAGGTGTCTGGAGACATGTCGTTACTAAGAGAACAAAAACGAATACATGTTTTGAAGCAGATACAGGCAGTGACAGTCATTCTAGGTGCAGATTTCTTATAAAGAGCTTACAGGTGTTAAGCATCTAAACAGATCAAAATGCTCATCCACCATTTAAACATTTTTACAATAGAAGCGAACAATAAGTGAAACATATATTTTTCATTGGTGTTCAAAGCTCGTAATTACATACATACCAGAAACATTTTGACGAATCAAACTCGGTTTTCTCTGCTGGGAAAATGCAAGCACGATAGCATCCTCCACCTGAATTTCAAGAGAGAAGATGATTTCGAAAGTTAGTTCCTTGGCGACCATGCTAGGTGACAAAATCTAAAGATAAATCAGAAGCAAGAATGGACACCTTTAATGAAGCTAGCTCTCGCAAGCCCATTTCAACTGAAAGCATACTTTCAATATTTCCTTCTCCAGTTAGATCACTCAAATCTTTAGCAGCTTTACTCCGATCATTACCACCTGCTTTAATTCGTATGCTAGTCAATATAGTTTTATACCAACAACAATAAACAAGGAATACTTTAACAGTTTAAACTATAGCAGATATTAGACGAGCCTTTATCCCAGGTTAAATCCTTGGCCTTCTGTGCTGCAGAGGTGACAAGCTCAAATGGAAGAGGAGCCAACGCTGACCAGTGCTCATGCCTCGATGGTGCTATATCTGCACAAATACCTACAAAATAACACCATAGAATAAAGTATACTGTGGATAACTACCACCCCACAAAATGAAAAGTGCATTAAGAGAATATATATATATATATATATAGATTTTAATTCAGAATATATACTCCTATATATTAAGAAATAGATAAAGCACCTACCATATTGCACAGCCAAACCCCAATACCGGGCAAGCCAGCATCTCTTTAGGACGACTTCTTCCTATATGATTCAATAATTTACAAATTCAAAAACTTCTAAATGATTAGTAGATAACGAGACCCAAGTTCTATCGACAAACCATTTCGTCCTGTGTTAAAATCATCCTTTGAGTCATTGTGCGAAGGGACTTCGCTTCAGACTCTGCTTCTTGAACCCTTTCTGCAGCAGTTGTAGCCTCGTCTTTCAAACTCTGAACATAGCAAGGAAAAATAAGACATAGCGTCATCATGCAAATAAGAGCGGTACATCTCATGGAAACCAGTACATCAGTGTACCTTACCTCAAGTTCTGAACGTAGAGAAACAATTTCCTCATCCTTCCCACTCTTTTTCTGTTTAGCAGCATTTAGAGCAGCCTGTAAATGGTACAAATTTTCTGCATAGCTTAGAATAAATATAGAAGACTTTGATATGGGATCAGAATAAAGAAGTCTAATCTAGTAATCTGAGCGGAAAATAGTGTTAAGGTACGTTATTCATGTTCACACTAACCTCTCTTTGACGCAGTGCTGCTTCCTTCCTGCAGAAAGACACAATTCATCATGAGTGATCATAACTACCATCCAAAGAGGAACACAAAGAGAAGCAAAAGAAGGCACAGGCTCGCACCTGCTTAACAATTTTGCCTCCAGAGACACTCCTTCTCCAAGAGAGGCAACCTTTTGGAAATAAACAAAAAAGCATATGAAACCTTGTACAAATGCCAATACTTGCATACATGTATTCAAAGCAAACTTTGAATAAACAGGAAAATCATTCTATCTGAATGTGCTAGACACGAGAATAAAGTCAGTCCATTCATATATGTTCTGATCTAAAAATAGTCTGCATCGCCACCTGGATTCTTACTATACTAAATGTTGTTAATCAGAATATAAGTTCATAGGATTCGAATACATTCAGCATCTCTACATGGATTGTCATGAACTGACAGAATGGTACATATTTACATTCTCTTCTTAAGATAAACCTAAAGATGCAGAGAAAGCAATGAGGATCTGCGTCAACATCAGTAAAAGAATGGACTACTCAAAAACCTGTTTCTCAAGCTCCTTAGCCCTAGCTTCTGCTTCCACCCTTTTCTCTTCCGCACGTCGAAGCTGTAATCAAGAAAAATATTATGCACAACGGAAGTGGACAGCTTTATAATTTATAATAACTTTCCAGGACAGACATCGAACCTTCTCAAGTACAATCTCATTCTCCTCTTGTAGCATATCCAGCTGCAGTTAAAAAATGGAATCAGGCTCAAGTCAAATCGTACCGACTCTTGCACAAATTCTAATTTGACTATAATAACCAATATGAGAATACAACGTATATAGACCAGATACCCCAAAGGTTAAAAGAAATCATCACATACTTCATCACGAAGAGCTGAAGCTTCCCGTTGATCACCCTTTTCCTTTGAATTTACAGATGGTAGATCAGCAAAGAACCTATAAAACATTAAAAAACAGTAATTAGCCGCAAGCTGCACATCCCAAAACCAGCGTCAAACACTCCACTTTGAACAAGGAGCATATCCACTTCCCATTTCTCGTGAAACTCTATAATAGATTTTATCTCAATTCTAAAGACTACTCAAACTGATTTTGACATATTCCACATTGTTCCCTTGGCTTTGAGAAGTATGATAAGAAGCAAAATTTCAAAGAAATTCAAAATGAAAAGGGAAGCAACAACGTTCTTCACCTTTTGTCTCTGCTCCTAGTTGGAGGATCAAGTGGAGGAATAGAATTCGAAGCTTTCACCGACACCCTGCTAGGCGGCATTAGATTTGGAGTCGGAGTCGGAGTCGTGGATCTAGCCGACATTGACGGCCTTCCGGCTGAAGCAGAACGCACCGAAGGCACTTGCTCGGCGAAGTTCCTGCCTAACTAATTAAACCATAAAAAAAAAGAAACCAATCAGCCCTAAAGAACCATATTCACCACAGCTCAGAACAAAATCAAATCAAGCTGATCTGAGATAATTCTAGAAGATGGGATACGGAATTCACCGCAGGCGACGGCGATCTATTGCGGGGAGCGAAGGAAATAGCCGGCAAATGACTGTTTCCGTTGCTGCTATTGCTTCCAGTGGAGGAGAGAGACGAAGGCGCGTGGCGAGCAGGTTTCAGAGAAGTAGATGCGAATCTGAGGCTCAGATCTTCATCCTCATCTTCATCATCTTCGTCCCCGTTGTCTTTGTTCTGCAAGGCCATGACCTGAGCTAGTCGCTGGGCCGCCGCTTTGGCAGCTACGTTCTGTGTCCGCTTGACGGTGGAGAAATTACCGACACCTCCGAGCTGCTTCCGGTGAGCAGGAGACATCGCCGGCGACGTCGACTCCGTACTGTTGGACGATTCGCTCCACTGGCGACCGTAAACCGGGCTACCCGCCCTCCTCCGATCCATCAGTTGCGGTCCGTGAAGTTACTAGTTAGCCGGATTCAATCGAAGTACTACGCGAGGAATAAGAAGTGAACCAGAGAAAAAGGGAATTTCTCGGGAAAAGGCTAGATTTTCTCGAGAAAACCAAAAAAAAAAGAAAAAACACGGAAGGAAAGAAAACGTTCGGCGAGATTTGGAGAAAGTGTTGAAACGGCGCCGTTAGCTACGGAGAAGAAAACACATTGCGAGCCTCGCGGGAGAACAAGTGACCTGGCCACCGTGGACATGGGACCCAGAAGTCAAGTGCTGATTGATTTTTTTCTGTTTATATTATTTAATATTAAGTATAAATATTTCAATTCAAAGGCAAGTTATATATAAAATGATATAGTAGTATGATCTACCGTATATAGTTGATTAATCTTTAATGAATCTGTCAACCTAATCCGCGTACCATAAACACAAGAAGAAGATGTTTATTAAACCATACTTATTACTATTAAATGTCATACAAAGTAAGAACTGGAACATCCTTGTTGACACGCAAAGAGTCGTGAGAAACCAGTATTTGAATGTTCTGTGTGACGTCAGTCAAATTGGTAAAAAGATGCAACATAGTGAGTGGGTACATACGACATTTCATAACGAAAACTCAGCACCTATAAATTCAGCTCCAGATTTTCTCGCCTTCTTAAAAGTGTTAAACATTTTCTCTTCACGAAGAAAAGTCAATTGAAACCAACAGTTTCAAATTTTCTCTTCTCCGGAGATGTCGGAGTCTAGCAACTCGAGCGGATCCTTGATCCCTGGCTTCCTCTACTCTTCCGATCATCGTTTGTCTCGGTTGATTTCTCCGACTTGTTCAGTCTCATCGAACGGTCCAAGTTTCGTGATTCCGGCGCCAAATAAGAAAGTAGAAATGTACTCTCCGGCGTATTACGCGGCGTGTACAGTCGGCGGGATGTTGAGCTGCGGTGTCACCCACACGGCGGTTACACCGCTCGATGTCCTCAAATGCAATATGCAGGTGAAGTTCCATTAACATTTTCGATCGTTCTTCGAAAGCTATCTATTTTTGTGGTGGCCGAAAAACTTACATTTGGGATTTATTAGGCCAAAGAAGAAAAACTGCGAATCAATAACTAAATTTTGATTATTTCGTCTTTTAAATAGTGGAATCTTATAAAATAAAGTCACAAAATACGTAATCAGAACTTATGATCTAAAATGGTTTCTAATAGTGCATTTCATAATTTAAATTCAAATTCAACTTTAAATCGGGGAATATATGCGAGTTTTAAACTGCTTAAAAAAGAAGCAATTGTTCTTGTTCTGCGATCTACTGATCTGAACTTATATATATGTTTTTTTGTTAGACTGCTATTCTTTTTTTTTTCCCACTCTGAATGATTCAATTTAGTAAAGTTGGTTGATTCCACTTTCGAGATTATAGTATCATTTTATGCCACTTTACACGTGGTATCAATCTTTGAGTTTCTTGTTTTACACGGCATCCACTCTTGAACTACGTCGGAGACTTTTCAATCTCATGCATGATTGATTTGATTGTGCGATCAAATAGAATCTGATCTCAAAATGACTAAATACAAATACAAAAACAAAAACATTAGATGCTCCACAAATAACCATTAAAAGTGAAAAAAAATTTGTTTACTATGGTCAGATTGATCCATCAAAGTACAAGAACATAACTTCTGCTTTCAAGACAACAATCAAAGAACAAGGGATCAAGGGTTTCACCAGAGGCTGGTCACCGACACTCATCGGGTACAGTGCTCAGGGAGCGTTCAAATACGGTCTGTATGAGTACGCCAAGAAATACTACTCAGACATCGTTGGACCAGAAAACGCAGCCAAATACAAAACCCTGATCTACCTCGCAGGCTCTGCCTCTGCGGAGATCGTCGCCGATGTAGCTCTCTGTCCCATGGAGGCAGTCAAAGTCAGGGTCCAGACTCAGCCTGGTTTCGCCCGCGGTTTATCTGATGGTTTACCAAAGATCATTAGATCAGAAGGCGTTCGCGGTTTATTCAAAGGGATTGTTCCTCTCTGGGGACGCCAGATTCCATGTAAGTCAAGAAACTCTAGTGTTACCCAGAAAGATTTGTGATGATTTCAGTATAAAACACTTGAGGTTTTTTTTTTGGCAGATACGATGATGAAATTTGCTACTTTTGAGAACACTGTGGAGCTCATATACAAGAAGGTGATTCCTAAACCGAAGGAAGAGTGTTCGGAGCCGGTTCAGCTCGGTGTTAGCTTCGCCGGTGGATACATTGCTGGAATTTTCTGCGCTGTTATCTCTCATCCTGCGGATAACTTGGTGTCTTTCCTCAATAACGCTAAAGGAGCCACCGTTAGTGATGTAAGTGAAAACTCCCACTCAAATCCATACACTTCATCAAGAACATCAAGAAACTCACACAGTTAGATTTGCTGCTGCTGCTGCTGCTACTGACTTGGTTTTTGGCTCTTTCTTGTGCTACAGGCAGTGAGTAGGCTAGGGTTATGGGGTCTGCTTACACGTGGCCTTCCTCTCCGTATTTTCATGATCGGAACACTCACTGGAGCACAATGGGTTATCTATGATGCTGTCAAGGTTTTAGCTGGACTGTAAGTATTTCTCATCAATACTCAAACCACTATAGTATCAAACACTCATCAAGATACCTATAACTTTCTCGTTTTCTCAGGCCAACCACTGGTGGTGCTTCTCCTGCTCCAGCTGTAAGTGCATAAAACTGCAAGGACTTTCCTCACAGACGTCACACTAAAGCAATAAGGGAGAGAAAAAAAAAACTCCCAAATTTTATTATTCTTATTGTGTTTCTACCTTGTAAGATAACAAAAGTTGTATTCTCTACATCTAGCTGTTCTGTTCTACATATGAAAGTCATTGACTCAAGTAGTAAAAGTAAAATTTTCTTTTTGCTTTCGACCATATCTTAATTTAAACCCCAGCCAGTCCAAGAGAGATTACAATTCTTGAGATGGGTCTAAAGGAAAAACTGTGTCGAAAACAACCCTAGCAAATACGTGTCTAACTTCTGGGAGGTCTCCTGAAGATAATGAGGTATAATCAATTTTACTATCTTGCTTGGGCACAAAACCCTTTAGCACCGCATTTTCTTTGACACATTCGAATACTCTTCTTGCATCTACGTACAATTGCAACGGTATGAAAACCTATTAAAAAAAGCCAGCAATAGGAGATGCATCAAGGTCCATGGCCTTTAGTAGAATTTGCATTTTCATTTGTGTCACTTTAAACGTTCTTATATGAATCCAAGACAAGTAGAAGTGCTTACCATATCAGAATGTGGAGCCTGAGGGTACGCTGCCATAGCCTTTGAAATGAACTGCCCATCGGTCATCTGTCCCAAGGCTTCTTTGATAGCAAAATCAAAATCCATGACCTCATCCATTAAGGCTTGAGAGTCCAGTTTCTCTGGCTCTAGTAGCTCGAGGAAGCCTTTGTTATGAGGTTTTGTGATTTTCCTGGTGATCTCTACAGCTTCTTGTACATCTCCACCATTGTGTACAGCAAGGCTGAAGGCAGCAACCACTGAAGGATGTCGAGGTTTAGCAGCAAGAGCTTTGTGAAGAGCCAAGATTGCTAACCTGCGAATTCCCGACACAACGTTTGTTGGGTATTTGATTACAACATTATCCTCTACTGTATATAGATATTAAACATGCGAGGACATTACCATAAGCTGCTGTGGCAAGGTCTATCCGGAGCCAACAGTTTATCCAAATTTGCGAAGAGAGACTGCATTGTAAAATGTTAGTTTATGAGTTCTTGACTCGATATGTTAAGCAATACACATTTCTCTCTGAAGAATATTGCAAAATGTGCATATGCATATTACCAGAAGCATATTAGTCCTTTTGTCTCGTCTCTTGAAACCACTTTTAACGAGATATGCTGCCTGTGGATGCTGAAGTTAGAATAAACTCAATGATACGATAAAGTACAGCAAGAGACGAGTGATATCACTAACCTGAATTGGTAAAAGAATCTCTAGTATCCCGAATTTCCACAACAATCTTAAAGAGGCTTCTGCTGATCCATATGATAACATGTAATTCATTTCCATCAAGATTCTTCCCTACACATTTGAACTCAGAATCATTCATGAACAAGATGCCGTAATACAAACACGAAGAAAGTGGAGAGACGCAATAACGTAAGCCTACCCTGTGGAGTCTTTGTACTAAAAAGGAAAGCTTCTTAACGAAATGAGCTGTTTCCTTGGAAATTTTGAAACCTAAACGCGCAGCGATTCTTGTCCCACGAAGAATCCTTGCTGCAAAAATGTTGTTATAAATGAATAAGCACTGATTAGCTTCCATTGTATGAACTCTTAACGGTATTCATACGAGAACTTGTATTTTTTCTAGACTCTGAAGAGTGTTTGTACAAGATTCGAGCTAGAAACGCTACATATATGATTATTTTTTAGGAAACTCACCACAATCTTCTTGAAAAGATAAGCCAGCATGAAACACTGTCCGTACCTGTGAGCAAAGAACCACACTGAGAAGTGAGAACAAAGGTTTTTGTAGATAACTTCCCGGGAAAAGGGTATAACAGAACATACTCACACCTTAGCTTTTCTAATGTCTTCTATTCCCCCAAGATAGTCATATACAACTTTGGCATATGGATCAAACATCAACCTGAGATTGGAAAAAACAATAAACATAATGTAACAAAGAAATGTAATAAAAGAAACTATCTGATGTCCATAATAGTCATGAGTTTGGGATTCAAAAAGATTACCCATTAATTGTGAAATCACGCTGCAAGCAATTATTGAAACGGATAGAGTCCTCGTCATTGGAGTCATTCGGTTTTCCGGAACCAGTTCTCATGTTTCTTGGAGAATTTTGTGCAGAGGTGCTAAAACTTGAAACCTACTAAAATATAAAGGAATTCAAAGAGAAAGCAAAAAAAAATGAAAAAAAAGTAAACCCTTGATTGAAAAAATAAAACCTCTATCATATCATTCCCAATGTGCACATGACATATAGGGAATCTTCTTCCAACAATTTCACATCTTGAGAAAGTCTGAACAACCTAAACACATTGCCACGAAAATACAATATCCTTTTTGAAAGCAAATTCAGACAGTGTTCAAGAGATGAGTTAAAGATTGGGAAAGAAAACAAGACCAACCTCTCTAAGTTCTGCAGAAGTGAGTACATCGAAATCTTTGGGCGTCTGCTTCAAAATAAGATCCCGTACACAGCCTCCCACAAGGTAAACATCATGTCCTACATACAGATATCATGGCAAGAGAAGAAAACAAATATCAAAAGCAGCAAAAGAGGAAAATGGTTGAAAAAAATATTAGAGATTCCATTCTTAGATTCCATCAGAAGATAAAAAGCATCAACCTTTACTCTTAAGTCCATTCAACACTCGTCGCGTGGGCTTTGAAATCATAGAACTTGTTATTCCAAGGTCTTCTGAATTTAGTTTCTTCCACTCTGGTGCTTTACCTTACAATACAAAATTACCAAGAGTTTACCAAAACATCAAAGCAAGCTACAAATTTTTGGTTTTTTTCACCAAAAGAGTATCAAAGTACTAATACTACATGTTTATATGTCTGAATTGAAGAATTGAGGCCGATTCTACGACCACTCAGTAAATATACATATATGGGATTACAAAGAACCAATTTTTTTATTTATTAAATCCATTAAATCGTTGATGTAACTTACTCGTTTCATTAGAATCTTGGTCATGACGATCACTATCCTTATCATCCACTGTCTCAATTATAGCAGCAGCCACAGTGTTGAATCGAACCTGAAAGCGAAACAACAAAATTAAGAAACAAAGGGGAAAAGAAATTCGGATATACGAAAACGAATTGCATAATTGTTAATTTTATATATAACTAAAAGGGGTCACCTTCGAGAAGCAGTGAAACAGAGGACGAACAGGACAATAGGATCTGCAAGCGAAACCCAGACTTGAAACCGCCATTGAAATCGTTAAGATTCACCATTTCATGATTGGCTTTAGAGCTTATCAAGCTGCTTTAATGGATTTTTTTAGTAGCAGAAATTTACAGAGTAGAATAGGGTTTTGAGGATGAATAACGAAGGGGGTTTAAGTGCCACGTGACAATTTCTCATTTGAATTAAAACATCTTAGCGTTCCTCGACTGACTATATTGTAAACTATCCTACTGTTTTCAAGCGCTTTTAGTTAACAACGCAGCGTTTTGTATAGTGAAAAAACTGTTTGCCGTCTTGAAATTTAATACGGGGACTACACGCTGTTTTCGCTAATGTTCATCGTCTCAGACTCGCAGATCGGAACACTCGCGTACTACTTTAGAAGATCAAGAAATTCACATCGTCTCCTGAAATAATCGGAGCTGAAAATTTCCTGAGGGAATCGATGAAGCTCTTGCAACTGATATTCATACTAGCTTTAACTACAGGAATCTCTGCTGTTCTCATCTACATTATCGGCGTCTCAAATCTCTGTAAGTATTGCTCCATCGTTTTCCCAGTGTGCAAGCTTTGTAGTGTGTATTCGTTGATTATCTGAAGTATGGCGATGATTAATGATAAAGAAGATGATTCCGTGGGTTTAGACGAATCAAATCGGCTTAGCAACGAAGATTTAGAGGCGTTGCATTCCCTGCAGAGCGGATTCCAGAAGTGCGTAGTAAGTAATTCCGATTTTAGAGATCTATCTAGTGATTCTACATTTGCGATCACTTATGAATTTACTTTCTTGATCCGTTTCGAATTAAATCTTACTTCTGAATCTGGAGATAGTTGATTAGGACTGAAATGGCTGGAATCAATTCATCACCTTCGATTATATTTATGAGTTGATGTATTTCTTGTTCGTATTTACATGTATAACTAAAAGAGTTTATCGGGTGTGTACTATGGCAATGATGCAGAAAGCAAATGGCTTGGGACTACAAGCTGCTACTGGTAGTGATTACTGCCAAGTCTCTATAAACTTCCCCAAGGACACTGTGCCCAAATGGGTAACGGCTCTTCTTCTCTGACTAATTTATTGATCTTAGTCTGATTACCTGAGTGTATAGTATACATTGGTGTCGAGCAAAATGGTGTATTGAATATTTGTGTTTATGTCTTGGATTGTGTCCAACAACAGAAAGATCCCAAGTCTGGAGAGCTTGAAGGGCTGTCATATGAGTTTAACCTGTGCGAAGCAGTAGCTACATGGGAACAAGTGGGTGTTGCATTTCATTAAAGTTTGTGTAAACGTTAAGTTCATATGATACAGTGATGTGTTAACTGCCGAGTTGGTTGACCAGGTCAGGAATAGCTCTACGATACTCACCAAGGAATACATTGATGCTTTACCAAATGGATGGGAAGATTATGCATGGCGCAGAATCAATAAAGGAATACAACTGTGAGTGTTGACTGACATTAGAGAGAGATGAAGTGTTGGTTTTTTATACTATCATCCGGGTTCATAGACAACAGCTCAAAACTTGCTACAAATCGATGGGTCTCAGTCACAGTATATCAAGTAGTTTGAAAACGCATTGTAAGATACTGTGTTGTCTTCTCCTTTTGTTGGCCTTAATGAAACTCACACTCTGGTGCAGTAATCGTTGCCAGAATAAATCTTTATGCATGGAGAAGCTTTCATTGGTGCTTCCTGAAACACCACCATATTTCCCCCGGCAGTATGAGCGATGTGCTGTTATTGGTAACTCTGGGGATCTCTTAAAAACGAAATTCGGAAAAGAGATAGATGCTTACGATGTGGTTATTAGAGAAAATGGTGCTCCAATTCAGGTTACTGATGAGTTCCTGTATGTGACTTCCAATTCTTTTGCTCCCTCTGTTCTCTCACTTATGTTCATTTTTCTTTTTTCTGGGAATATCTTCTTGCAGAACTACAAGGAATATGTGGGAGAGAAAAGTACATTCCGTCTTCTTAATCGAGGGTCAGCAAAAGCCCTTGACAAAGTCGTGGAGTTGGATGGTACTATATTAACTGTTTTCTTGTTTTTTTACTCCTTCATGGTTATGGCTATTGTTTCTCTATTTATATCTATTTTTGTGTGTGTTGCAAATTGATACTCTACTCTCTCTGATCCTTTTGAAATTACGCAGAAAAAAAGCAAGAGGTCCTGCTAGTAAAAACAACAATTCATGATATTATGAACAAGATGATTCGGGTTTGTACATTGCACTTATTTGTCTCTTAGTTCTTTTGGTTTTGAATACCTGTGATCTGCTTCTGGTCTTCGAACCTCATTTGAGAATTTATTTTTCTCTGCAGGAAGTTCCAATAACAAATCCTGTCTACTTAATGCTTGGTGCTTCATTTGGCTCGGCCGCCAAAGGAACTGGGCTCAAGGCTCTTGAATTTGCACTCTCGACGTGTGATTCAGTGGATATGTATGGTTTCACTGTAGACCCAGGTTATAAAGAGTGGTATAAAATCTGCCCTTTTTATTTTGTTTAGCTATATATATATTAATCATGTTTATGTTTACCTGTCTAACTATTTACCATCTTTATTTTTGACTGTAACATCTTGTGATATTCTTTCAGGACTAGATATTTTTCAGAATCTCGACAAGGACATACTCCTTTGCATGGTAGAGCTTACTACCAGATGATGGAATGCTTGGGTGTAAGTCTCTGGTTTCTCGTTTTTCTTCATTTTCCAGTCATCCAATACAAGTTGTTACATTTTACCTGTTGCAATAATCACTTGATTCGTTTATCAGAATTGCATTGGCCTTTCATAGATGCAGAGATCCCTACAAGCTTTTTGGTTTTGACTTGGTTCTCTTCTTTTTTTAGCTCATTAAAATACACTCTCCCATGAGAGCTGATCCGAACCGAGTCGTGAAATGGGTGCCAAGCCGCAATACAATTAGGTCAGCAAGAATTGCAGCAGAGAAGCTCTTAAGGTAATCAATTTCATCTTCTTTTTTCTTTGACGTACATATCTACCTCAGAAGCTTATCAGCTCTTTTAATAAAAACCATTCAACGTGCAGGAGAGTTGGAGCAGGATCTGTAGACCCATTAGCTTCATGCTCGATACTAAAGGAGAGAAGCAAAGACAAGCGTCCAGTGGTCTCACAGCTCAGAAAACCTGTGAGTCACCATCAAAAATATGTGAGAAGCACGACCATGTACCCGTTGGAGCACAGTCCAGGGCATAGTCAGCTTTGCATTACATCAGCTGAGTAAAGAAACTGCTTATATAGAAATCGATTTTCCCCCATACACTAAAGCACAAAACAGGTTCAGTGGACAACAGTAGATTCAAAAGCAAGTCCATCCTCTGCTATAGCGCCCATTGTAGGGAGTTCAAGATCATTGAGGTGACAGTTTTCTGCGTAATCTTTTGAGATTAGGATTGATTCTTTTGTATTCCTGTTTTCAGAATTTTTCTTCACCAGAGGTATAGGTAAATGTTATCCTGTTCCGTCGTAGAGGACTGAGATAGAAATGGAAGCTAGAGATTGCTTGTTTGATGTCTATTTTTCGTACATACGCAAAATGTTTAGTGTTCGCCTTCTTTGCATTTAATCCTTGTCTTACTTTTTTTACTAGGCGCGAAATCAGGTTAAAATGTTTCTTACGATAGCTGAAAATACTGTAATCGGTACTGTAAAAATTCGAGTAAGACCAAAAATTAGATAAAATGTGAGTGATTAGGCTTTTACAGTTCTCTCCTGGTAAAAAAAGGCCATGATACGAAATGAAAATCTCATGTGAAACCTATTCAACTCTAAGGAGGTGTTATTGGTTCTTGTATTTTAATTGATTTGAGAATCTAAACCAAATTCAGTGTTATTAGTTCTTGTATTTTAAAATTTATATTGAAATACAGTGTTATTGGTTATATGATTTTAAAATCCATAATGAAATACAATGTTATTGGTTCTATCATTTTAGAATCTAAGTATTATAAGAATTTGAGTTTTAATTGAATTTGAATGGATTTGGAAGAATTTTCATGACTAAAATACAAAGACCCAAATACAAGATCTAACTTTGGTATTTGAGTGGATTTGATTTTTTTCCATTTTGCAGATTTTGAAATTAATAAATTTATCAAATCCAAAGAAGATTTATAAATCCACCAAAATACAAAAACCAATAACCCCTACTAAATTTCATCAAGAGTTTCATCAGTGAACTAACTATCATACACAAACGACTAAACTCAAACCATGGCTAGAGATTCCAAAAGCTTTCTTCTCGAGCTCCTCTTTAGCAAACAGTCTTTCAAGCAGCTTCTTGACGGCCTGGATCTTCACACTGAAACAAAAGTTGCAATCATACGTCAATACACAGTTACAGATTCTTGTAGAAAAGATTCAAAGAGTCTAGTCTATCACCATGAGAATGTTGGGATCAAAGAAGGGCATAGCTTTAATCAACGAAAGATGTATATGTGGAGTAAATGATTGCTCACCAAATCAAATCATATTACAACAGAGGCATGGCCAAAGCGCATCTGTCTCACCATATTTGCTTATCAATTTCTCAGCAATGTACTTGTCAGATACAAAAACCAGTCGTTTGATTTGTCTTGCAGATTTTGAAGTGCTTCCTTTGAGTTCTTGAAGGGTCAACAAGCCAAGCTTCCAAGTGATCACAAGATTTGCATATATTCACGATTCACCAGAGTTGATGCTTCTAGTCATACAGAGAAGCAAATGGCTTCCCATCAAACCACACAAGTTTGACTTTGCATATGGTAAAACTGAATCATCAGCTCATGTTGTCATCGAGAGTAAAACAACGAACCAATACATTCCATGTAGCAACACTTGGGACAATCCCTTCACTTATCATCCTCTCAAGACGAATCACCGCATCGTCCCTACAACCAGAGTTGCATAGAGCCCACATCACGTTTGTGTATGAGATTACATCAGGCCGCCACTTACTTCCTCCACATGAAACTTGATCAAACATCTGGACTGCCCTCTCGGCTTTCCCTTGTTTGCAATACGCTAATATTACCATATTCCTCGTTATCTCATCCGGAGATTTACCATCGACCACCATTTTCCCTGCTAGCTGCAGAGCTAACCAGGGGAGACCTGCATTGCATGATCCATGTACAAGTGTGTTGTAAGTCGTTGTGCTCCACTCCACACCTCTCATGGAGATCTCTAGGGTAAGACCATAAGCTTCTTCTATTCGGTTTGTCTTTGAGAGCCCATCTAGTAGCTCGTTGTATGTTACAATGTTGGGAGGACACTTGTATTGATGCTCCATTTGTCTGAACACTTTCTCTGCCCAGTCAAGCCTCCCTGCATCGCATAAACCTTTGATAAATGCGTTAAACGTCGGCACAGAAGGAGCACAGTTTTCTTTGGACATAGTCTCTATAAGAGACTCAGCTTCTTTGAACTTGGAGTGCCTACAAAGAGCTTGCACCATGCTTGTATACACCACAACATTTGGGGAGCATCCATCAGTTAGCATCTTATTCCATATATCAACTGCTCCTTCAAGGCTACCACTTTTGGCAAAGCCGTTGATAAGAGAGCCATAGGTTCTGATGTTTGGAGAACATCCGTTTTCTTCCATGTGTGAAAAGACAGACATAGCCTTTTCCATATTCCCATGGGAACAAAATCCTTGTACCAGAGTGTTAAACGCTACAACGTTCGGCTGTAACTCAAATCCTCTGATCATCGAATTCCACAACTCTAGAGCATCGACGGTCGTACCTCTTACGAAACAACCCTTCACCAGAGAACTCAATGTATGGATATTTGGATGACACCCTCGTTTCAACATCTGCGCCAGAAGCGAGAAAGAGAGCTCGGTTTCTCCAGAGTTGCAAAGCGCATTGATAAGTGTTGAGTATGAGATAACATTAGGAGATATCCCTTTCTCCACCATTTCACTCATCAGGTCAAATCCCCCTTTGTAATCATGCTCTTTGCATAACCCATTAATCAACGCGTTGTAAACGCTCACAACAGGTTCGAATCTCGCTGCGAGTTCCTTACCTTCCTTCACCATACCGAGCTCACACATGGAAGAGATCACTGTGGTGTAGCTCACAGCATCAGGAGAACAGCCTTTATTCGACATCTCCACCAGTAGCTTCTGAGCTCCCTCCACCTTGTTGTTCTTACACAAAGCCTTAAGAAGAACATTATAAGTAAACACATTGGGCTCAAACCCATCTCTCTTCATGTCTCTATAAACCGTATAAATCATCTGAATCCTATTCTCACCGAGTAGAGTATCCAAAACATGGTTATATATCTTAACCGAAGGATCACACCCGAACTCCTTAATCCTATAAAACATCTCCACGGCTCGATCAGCCAAACCCACTTGCCTGTATACACTAATAACATTGACAAACAAATCTTCAGAACAATGAAAGCCTTGGAGCTTCATCTGCTGCAAAAGGTACTGAACGCTATCAATCTGACCTACCATCGCAAGCTTTCTGATCATCACCTCGAATGTCAAAGGCGTGTGCTTGAAGAGATTTGAATTGGCGATGGATTTGAAGAACTGCAAGGCTAGAGGGACACATGACTCTTGTCTCAGCCTCTTTACCACATCAAACTCTTTGATCTCCGTGGCAGGGCTTGGAGATTCCGGGAGAAATTTCCCAGTGAGATTTGTGTTGAGGACAAATGGGATCATGGGTTTCTGAACTTTCAACAGCAACGAACATCCTTCTTTCAGATACATCGCAAACCAAATCGAAAAATCGAAAGGTGAGAGCTTTTTTGCAAGTGTTCCTCCTTTACATCACTCGATAAAAGAGTCTCCTTTTTAATCCAGAAGCCAAGGACACAATTGGATTTTTCTAAACTTACAGTAACTTGGCAATGGAGAAAGACGGAGACGATAGATTGAGCAGATAGCGACGATGATTAGATTGGCCGGTGGCGATTCAACCGGCGGGGCTTTGTCTGAGGGTTTGGTCTTGTGCTTTTTCGGAGATTTTGTTTTTGATAACCAAATTGGGTTAAACATGGAAGTTAAAGGGCTGTTTTGTTAATAAAGAACTGTTAGTTTGTGCACGAGCGTACACGTGTCTAGAAGTGAACATTTCTTCTCTTCCCTCTCTCCTTCCTTCTTCGATTCTCCTGATGACGATACTTCTCTCTCTCACATCCACTTCCGACTTCTCCAGATAAAACCTAAATTAAGCTAAAGCAAAGTCTCGCCCTTTCATTTTCTCCAGTAGCTGCTCCACACTGGCATGATTCGCCTGTATGCCTGATAAACTGAAACAAGAAAACTACTATATTTCTCAATCTTTCTAGAAATGGCGGAGTTGCAGTCAGGTAGTAATAATCAGCAACCAAACGGCGGCGTTCCTCCTCCGCTGCCGTCAACCTCAGCCGAAGTGCTGGCGATCACCGCCGCCGGATCGAAACGATTAAGGAGACCAAGCGTTCGATTAGGCGAAATCGGCGGCGACCAGTACCAGCATCACCACTCGGCGTACGATTCGCAGGGGCGGAAACCGAAATGGACAGCGACGGCGACGGGTAATAGAAAAGACGCGAGCAAATCGTCGTCGAGGACTCGAGCGCTAACGAATTTGGGTTCTGGGTACGAGAATAGCGGAACCCTAGATGATGAAAGAGAAGGGAATGTGGATTCTTTTGGGGTTGGGACTTGGCGGGTCAAGAAACGGGTCGGGTCATCTACCGGTGCGACTACAGCAACGGCAGCGAAGCGAGTCCGATCCAATTGGGCATCGAAAGTTGGGGAAACCGACCACGGCGATGATAAAATCAGCGGAGGGGAAGAATTGGAAGGTGGGTTTAGGGATTTCAGCAGAGAAGATTCAGAGAGTCCGGTAAAAGACGAGTCTTTGGTGAGAGACGGTGGGTTTTACGGTAGGAGACGATACGAAAGCAACAATAGCAGTGGAAACAGAGAGTTCGAGGTATCAGAGCCGGACGGAGTTGGTGGTGGCGGAGGAGGAGGAAGAGAAGGGGTTAAGATATGGCTGCAAGAGCTAGGGTTAGGGAGATATTGGCCAATGTTTGAGATACATGAGGTTGATGAAGAGGTTTTGCCATTGTTGACATTGGAAGATTTGAAAGATATGGGGATTAATGCTGTAGGTTCGAGGAGGAAGATGTTCTGTGCAATTCAGAAACTTGGTAGGGAGTTCTCATGATACAGAGAATGGAGAATTTTGATCGGTTTAAGAAGAAGAAAAAAAGAACATGGTTTTTTTGTTGTTGTTTTTTTTTGTTGGTGAGAGATAGTCAGCCATGGCAATGTAAGCTTTGCGATGTCTGAAACCATGAAAGCCTTTTCTTCCTTATTGATATATTTCATTCGCCATGAAAGCCTTTTCTTCCTTATTGATATATTTCATTCGCCTTTTAGTTTCTTATTTTGGCTGTTTCTTGTTTGATGAAGCCTTAAGCTACAGTAGTATTAGTAGAAGTGTTGGAAAAGAAGAGGATGATGAAGAAGAGGAAGAAGATATATGAGGTTTTTTAGCTCTGTCTTCTCCTCACTTGAGTTCTCTCCATGAATGTTTTTTTCTGATGAGGAACTGGCTATCAAATAGGTCTATATAGGTTAGAAAGTAGAAACCGGTTTGCAATAGAAGTTCGAAAGAGAAGAAAAAATGAATGCATCTTCGGGGTGTGAAAAGGAATTAGACTCATTGGATCACACAGACTGTTTTTGGCGTGTAGAC